AGGAAAGTAACTTTGAAACAACCAGTCTGTTTTTTGTCCCTTGTTTCTGCTTACTTGGCCTTTTCTGCCCGTAAAGCTCACCCACTCTGCTCAGCTCACTGGAGGGCTTTTCTATTTTGTAGATGGGATGCTGCCCAATTCATGGATCATTAATAGAACCCAATCAGGCCGGGCACGGTGGCTCACGCCTGTAATCCTAGCACTCTGGGAGGCCGAGGTGGGCAGATTGCTCAAGGTCAGGAGTTCGAAACCAGCCTGAGCAAGAGCAAGACCCCGTCTCTACTAAAAATAGAAAAAAATTAATTGGCCAACTAATATATAGAGAAAAAATTAGCCCGGCATCATGGTGCATGCCCGTAGTCCCAGCTACTCGGGAGGCTGAGGCAGCAGGATTGCTTGAGCCCAGGAGTCTGAGGTTGCTGTGAGCTAGGCTGATGCCACAGCACTCATTCTAGCCTGGGCAACAAAGTGAGACTCTGTCTCAAAAAAAAAAAAAAAAAAAAAAAGGAATCAGACTGACCTATCCTAGTTCTACTCCTTTCAGCTGCTTTCTTATCTTAAGGAATTGTATTTACTTTGGGGGCTATGGAGAAGATTGAAGAGATGATATACACAAAGCACCTAGCACACAGTAGGCCCTCAATAGTGTTAGTTTTCTTTGCTTCCCATCTAACAACTGATTCCAAGGGAGGAAATCCTTGTTGCTAGTGACCTGCTGTGTAATTGGAGCTAAATTGCTTCCTCTCCTTGCATCTATTTCATAAGGTTAAAGGGAGATACTTAAGTCCCAGAGAGTATTTAATTAGAGATTGTAAAGTGACTAGATACTCCTGGTTGGAAAGTGTTATTTAGATGCAAAGTGCTGTTATCTTTTGAGCAGGTAATTGTTTCCTGTCCTAAATTGTTTAGCATTGTACTGAGTTTCCATCTCTGAGATAGTGACATTTCTTGAGAGGGTAAAGAAATATCTCAGCTAGGTGTTTGTTGTGAGTCTTCGTTCATTAATGTTTAGTAAGCCTACATAAACCTACCATAAAAGGCTAAATGTTGACTACTTACCTTTCATATGGTTGTCAATTCTGATATTTTAATATAGCAGCTAATATTGTCCAAAGAAGTTGGCATTTTATTTATTATTTATTTATTTATTTAGAGACAGAGTCTCCCTTTGTTGCCCAGGCTAGAGTGAGTGCCGTGGCGTCAGCCTAGCTCACAGCAACCTCAAACTCCTAGGCTCAAGCAATCCTACTGCCTCAGCCTCCCGAGTAGCTGGGACTACAGGCATGCGCCACCATGCCCGGCTAATTTTTTCTATATATATTAGTTGGCCAATTAATTTCTTTCTATTTATAGTAGAGATGGGGTCTCGCTCTTGCTCAGGCTGTTTCGAACTCCTGAGCTCGAGCTATCCACCCGCCTCAGCCTCCCAGAGTGCTAGGATTACAGGCGTGAGCCACCGCGCCCGGCTAGAAGTTGGCATTTTAGCATTGGATTATGTAATATTTATTGTATAATCATGTTGGGGGCTCTAATTCATTACTACTATTCAAAGAGATTTTTTTTTTTGAGACAGGTTCTCACTCTGTTGCCCAGGCCAGAGTACAGTGTCATCATCATAGCTCACTGCAGCCTCAAACTTCTGAGCTCAAGTGATCCTCCTCCCTCAGCCTCCTGAATGACTGGAGCTACAGGTGTGTGCTACCATGCCTGCCTTTTTTTTTTTTTTGGTAGACACAAGGTCTTATGTTGCTCAGGCTGGTCTCAAACTCCTGGCCTCAAGTGATTCTCCTGCCTCAGTTTCCCAAATGCTAGGGTTATAGGCGTGAGCCTCCATGCTTGGCTGAGTTGTCTTTTTATTTATTTATTTTTTTAGACAGAGTCTCACTCTCTTGCCTGGGCTAGAGTGAGTGCCGTGGCATCAGCCTAGCTCATAGCAACCTCAAACTCCTAGGCTCAAGCAATCCTCTTGCCTCAGCCTCCCAAGTAGCTGGGACTACAGGCACACGCCGCTGTGCCAGGCTAATTTTTTTCTATTTTTTTCAGTTGTTTGGCTAATTTCTTTCTATTTACAGTAGAGACAGGATCTCCCTCTTGCTCAGGCTGGTCTTGAACTCCTGAACTCAAGCAATCCTCCCACCTTGGCCTCACAGAGTGCTAGCATTACAGGCGTGAGCCATCACACATGCCCTGAGTTGTAGTTTTTACCAGAAAGGGGTTAGAGAAGTATTGATAGCTGTTATTTTTCTATCATGACATAATTTATAACTGATTTCATTTCATATTCTTATGTAAAACCATACAAACTGACTAAAAAAGCTAAAATGAAGTACTGAGAGATTTTATGTAATAGTTAATAATTTTTAAAACTAGTATTTATCAGACATTATGTGCCAGGCACTGTTCTAAACCCTATGCATTCATTAAAACTAAAATAGGCATAATCCAACTCTAACATGTCACATTTATTTAGATAGCATTACTATCTGTAGAAATTTTCAAATATGTAGCTGTTCATCAGGATTGTTTGTACTGTGGCGAGATGGAGGAAGATTTGAGAGCATAAGGACTTTGGTTTCAGAGCAATGGCTATCATTTATTGGACGTGACAGATGCCAAATTACATAAACACCTTATTTTATTCTTATAGCAAACTTTTGAAGTAGGATTGTCATCAACATTTTACAAAGTAGGAAAGTAAGAGTCAAAGAAGTTAGGTCATTTGCCCAAACTTAAGAAACTGGGAAATGGCAATACCAGGATTCAGACTCTTGTCCTGCCATTCCTAGAGCATGAAGGAATAGGAGAACCCTGCACTCCTTCCATAAAGAATGTCCTTTACAAGCATAAGTCACTGTGCCTGGCCAGGCTAGACATTTTATCAAAGTCATAACTTTTAGAAATCACTTTGAGAAGCATATATGAAGCATCAATGTATGTGTGTGTGTGTGTGTGTGTGTGTATTTGACATTTTATTCATTATTTTTTAAAAAATTATAATTTCACATCAATGTTCTTCCTTTAGGCAGTGGGTAGAGGACAGAGGAGAGAGGATAAATCTTTCTATAAGGGAAAAAGGGTTTTCCTAAAATATTCTGGCCCTTCTTATCTCTAGGCAGAGGTTGCCAAATTTAAGCTGGAAAGCTTAGAGAAGGGCAGAGAAGTTTCAGGGATGAGGTGTTTTTTTAAAATTATAATTCTTTAAATCAGTGTGTGTTTTAAAGTTTATAATTAGAATTATTTTCAGAAAATCAATTGGCAAGAGTTTTCTAAATGTTCCCAAGCACAGCAAAGGTCTATGATTTACAGTACAAATTAGACAGACTATGATGATTACGTGGCTATGACAATGGGAAAACTGGATAAAAGGCAGCGCTGACCTCCAAAGAGCAAGGAAAACCAGCGAAGGCTGCTGGTAAAACATCGAGAGGAAGTTTCTCCAAATAGTGGTTTGCTTATGGTTTCAAAATTTTTTTTTCCCCTGACTTTTAAAATAGTTTCAGAATAACAAATTTTTAACAGCTGGTCATCAAATTCATGCACACTCACAGAATGACTCTATCTCTAAGACTGACTATAAATAATACATCCATCTGGCTCTCACGGGAGTATCGAATTGACTTGTTGTCCCATCACAGTGTCTCCCTTCTGCCACTCCACAATGACAGGGTGAAGCCACACTGCCACGTTGAACAGATATAGTTACAGATGGAGACGTTGCATTGTGGACACCCCACGTTTCTGAAATAAAGTTAGCTGATAGGATTACCAAGCGTAACCAAATGCAGTCATTGCAGAGGAGGCCTGTATCATATTACCTTTGAAAATATTTTAATCTAGAAACACCATACACTGAATGCAAAATCCATGAATACCTGACCCCTGGGCGTGGCCCAGGACATACTATTCTGAACCATCTCCTATTTTCTTTCATGGGTAAACAGAAATCCTGAGCTAGAAATAGAGGGAGAAAATGTGAAAATTAAAACAGAGTCAAACCAAGTGTTTTGAATGCTCTTAAAGGACCAAAAAAAAAAAAAAAAAGACTACAGTTTAGATCACATTAGAAGTCCCCTATGTGGTCTTCAAAGCTGGATTTCCTGCAGTTAAGGAGCCCAGACGAAGCAGACATATCACGACTTTGAAGCTTCATGTTTGTTCTATTATTCAATCGCAGTCAACTTCCAACTATTGAAAAAAAGATGATTTAGAGTTAAAGGACTGCTCATCTGTGTTGCAAGGCCCTTCAACTTGTTCATTCTGTGATATCCAGAGACTCCAAGAAGTTGGTGAGTTCCTATTGTTACTGCCATCGTTTTAGCTCTTTGTGTTGATGGTAGCATTGGGTTGGCTGAAGACTTAGAGCAGCATATTGCTTTGTACAGTATAAAATATCAATGAATCATGCACTGAAAGCTTTTAATTGTAATCTAGTCACAATCAAAATGACAAATATCTATTTGGATTACTGAATCATTGCCTTCAACAGCCAACTCTTATTGTCATTACAAAGTCAGTAAGGCTGATCTTAGAAGTGTGGGGTGTAGATGCTGTGAGTGTTTTGTGTCTGTGTTAACTGGCACTTCAGGTGGAGGGAGGTAGGAAAAGGTGGGTAGAAACAACTCCTGCTTTCTCCTGTACATCTGGGTCCTATACACCTTCCCCAGTTTGCCTGGGTAGCAGAGGTCTAAACACAGAACAGGGGGTAGTGGGGATGAGGTTGAAAGATTGTTGTAAGCACATGGCCCCACAGTTTTCCTTTGGTGATGAAACAGTCCTCTAATGTGTAAAATTGTATTATCACTAAATGGGCTTAGTGACTAGAAGAAATATCACCTACCAGCCAGAAACCAGGATTTGCTGACCATCTCTGGTCTCTCACCACTAAGGAGTTTGAGTTTTCCCATCTATAGACATTCTTAATTGAATCCATCAGATTGCTAGTCATCCCAGCCGTGGTTTTCTTCTTCTCTTAAATAGGCAGGTTAGTGGCTTAGGCCAGCGCTTCATCACCAAATTTAGATTTCATGATCAAATAAACCACACAGGGAACGGCTGTCAGCATGGTGATCACCTTGGTGTTCATCCTGCTCAGGTCCTGGACTGAAGTGTTTTCACAGGCTGGGGCACTGTGATGTCCTGGCACTGGTTGCTCAAAGTGTTCATGCTCAGAGGGGCTTGTGAGCCGTTGCTGAACACACAATGGTCAGTATAGCTGTGTGAGTGGTCATGGCCCCAAATGTACTCCCCTGACTTCAGTAAATCAAGTTGAATTCTACAGAAAGGTTCTGTTGGGTTCTCACCGGAATCTCTTTGGATGTGCCTTTGGATTCCAAGATTGAGCTGGGTGTTGATGTAGGAAGATGTTCCAGTTTCTTCCAGCTACCTGTAAGGTCCATTACAATGCTAAGTATAGGGACTGTCCCTTTCCAGAAAAAATTTTCTTGATATTTTGGATGCACTAAAAAAAAAAAAAAAAAAAAAAAAAAAAAAAAACAGAAAGAAAGAAAGAAAGAACGAACGAACGAACAACAGAGAAGTTGTTTTCCTATATGTAATTAGAGAGTTCCTCAGGCTTATCTTGGTGGTGTCTCTTTTTCTTTTTCTTAAGAGTCATAGCAAAAAGGAAGGGTGTGATGGTTCACACCTGTAATCCTAGGACTCTGGGAAGCCAAGGCAGGAGGATTGCTTGAGCTCAGGAGTTCAAGACCAGCCTGAACAAGAGTAAGACCCTGTCTTTACTAAAAATAGAAAAAATTAGCCAGGTGTGGTGGCGTGCGCCTGTAGTCCCAGCTACTCAGGAGGCTGAGGCAGAAGGATTGCTTGAGCCCAGGAGTTTGAGGTTGCTGTGAGCTAGGCTGACACTGTGGCACTCTAGCTTGGGTAACAGAGCAAGACTATGTCTCAAGAAAAACCAAAAAAAAACAAAAAAAAAAACAGTCATAGCAAAAATCAAATTTTATCAGTTTAAACAGAATAATATTTTAGAAACTGCAATTTAGCCAATAATGTGTCTTTTCTTCCTTAAGAGCAAGGGCTCAGAGTTCGGCAATGAGCTTCTTAAAATATTATAAAAAGAAAGCATGAGGATTACTTTGGGGCTGTAGTCTGGGTCATTAAAAGTCCTGTAAAACTAGAATTTGTCTTCTTTTTCTCTTTTCTCTTTTCTCTGTAGGTATTTAAACATATTCTCCTTTTTTTGTTCTCAAAAATTAGACGCTATTTTGCTTAAAATTATTTAGTGATTTTTTTTTACCTTTAAACAACATAGTCATTTACAGATAGATTTTAAAAATAATTTTAAGGCTCTGTAAGAGATGTCTTATATCTGCAATTCCTTCCTTTATCCTTTAACTATCCCCACATGTGAGGAGTGGCCTCGCCTTCCGGACCTGCGCACTCTTCAGTATCCCAGCACTGAGATGGGTTTTGGTTTTTCATTTTTAAACTACCGTGTACTGAATTCTCACACTGTGCCACACCCTGTGCCAAGTGCTTCGCGTGCATTATCTCGAGTATTGCTCTTCCTATTTTTCAAAAGGGGAAACAGAGACTCAGAAAAGTTAAATATTAATAACTTGCCAGGTGACATGAAACTAACAAGTGGAGAAGCTGGAATTCAAACCCGGGTCTGCCGATTGCTGCTTCCCACCGTGCCTTTGCGCTTGCCTGGGGAGCATTTTTCCCTTGTTCTTCAGCTTGGCTCAGAATAGCCTGTAATTCTGTTCATGAAGATGTGCCTCGACTTTCAGTAAATACTGCCTCTGTAAATGACTTAAAGTCATTCTGCAGTGCTCTCTCTCTCTCTCCCCCGCTCTCTCTCAGAAGTATCTTTTTGTTTGGGGTTTTCTAACATTGGCACGTATCTATAAATTAAGATTTTTGTACAATGTTTCACAGATGCCCTTTACCACATTTGGTTTATACTCCTTTTTACTTCAGAGAACTTAGCTCAAAAAAAAATTTATTTTTTTTTTGGTCAAACATACTATTTTAACTTTTGAGGTTTTCTAATAAATCACAAGTTTATAGATGCATAAAAATTTAGTTGAGGAGAGAACCTCAGAGATCTGCTCCTCAGCCTGTAATTGTATGGGCAAGAGAGGCCAGCGGCGGCTCTGGTCACCCTGGGCTGGTGAACCGCAAAGCCCGGGCTGCTCCTGTCCTGCCTGGAGCACCAGTTACTCCACCTAAAACTTGAGACCATTTTACTACTTCCGAGGAGTTATCCCAAAAGTTCACAAATCAGGAAGAGATATCTGCATGTGTGTTTGAAATGTTGTTTAAGAAAAAGAATAAAGGACTCGAGTATCCAAGTGGCAGCTGGTTTTGTTCTGACCATTTTCAGGAATATCCTCCCAATACCCACCACCACCACCTCCAGACTCCAGCTGGTCAGGACTGCTCGGGGGAGGATAGCCTTTCTGACCAGGTGCCTGCCTGGGTCCTCTTTAGGAGAGAGATGTTTGACTGCAGACCAGCCTCCAGGTGCTCAAAAGGCCTGTCTGTCCCTTGGCCATATTCCTGTCAGTCTTTCTCTGCACTTCTCAGACACACAAGGACACATTAGGAGAAGGGGAGCAGAATGTCTGGAGGGATGGCTGAAAAAGCACCAGAACAGGAAGGTCAGTGTTGAGTTTGAGCTGAGCCAGCTTCCAGTGCCATGCAACTTACAGGCTTGTCCGTGATGTGTGGACAAGGGACAGCCAAGGCACTTTAAAAAAATCAATCCTTTACTTGCATCCCAAGATCCCATTTTGAGAAAACTCCAAATAGCATTTCCCTAAGGGAGGTTGATAAATATTTGCTCATTAGGTGTCCCTCAAGTTTTTTTTTTTTTTTTTGAGACAGTCTCACTCTGCTGCCTGGGCTAGAGTGCCATGGCATCAGCCTAGCTCACAGCAACCTCAAACTCCTGGGCTCAAGCCATCCTTCTGCCTCAGCCTCCCAAGTAGCTGGGACTACAGGCATGCGCCACCATGCCTGGCTAGTTTTTTCTATACATTTTTAATTGGCCAATTTCTTTCTTTCTTTCTTTCTTTTTTTTTTAGTAGAGACGGGGTCTAACTCTTGCTCAGGCTGGTTTCGAACTCCTGACCTTGAGCAATCTACCTGCCTCGGCCTCCCAGAGTGCTAGGATTACAGGCGTGAGCCTGTAACCTACGGGGCCCCTCAGGTTTTAATGAATGAAAATTTTAACACTCCCCTTGTTTCTTTCTATTCCTCACTATAAAAACAGTGGCATAAAACCCCTGATTATGTTGACACAGTATTTAGGATGGGTTAGCTCTTGGCTGAGCTTTCTGCCTTCATGTGTCTCACTGAATTTCTTTAAATGAAAAACATCCATTTAGTTCTGGCGTAGGCACCAGCGTAGGCAGAGTCTCCCGCATTATTCCCAGACATTTAACAACCAGGCTGCTCTCCTTTCACACCGAACAGGATGCGAGATGAAGACAGTCAGCGAAAACCAGAAGATCTACGGTTACAATTAAGAACCTGAGACCGGGCTGCAGAGGACGGGAGAGATCAGGCTGCCCCAGCATGGACGACGATCTTTCAGAAGATACAACTTGTAAACAGCAGGAGGAGTTGCCTTATGATGGGGCTGATTATGCTTTTACCTCAGAAAATGGCATCCTCGATGGCTCAGATCAAGTCATTTTAATAGCAGATGGCCCTCAAGAGGAGGCTACACATGACAAGCCCTGCAGAAACACAGCGAAGGCCATGCCTCCAGGTTACATTACCGAAAATCCTGTCAACAAAAAACACGACCAAGAGAAGCAATGCGCCGCGGTAACTCCCAACATTCCAGCTGACCAAGGAGACACCTCAAATTCAAACATTTCGGACATTTTACTCCATCACCTTTCTGAAGAGAAATTCTTAAGCGGTCAAGGCATCGACTGTGAAACTCCCCCAGAGACCTCAAATACTGACAGTTTTGAAGAAGGAGCTATTATTGAAAATATTATTTCGTGTTATATTAAGAATTCTTGCCCGGAAGAACAAACCTCAAAACTCACTGACCAACTTAACCACAAAAGGGATGATGAAAATAGCAACGAGCACGGATGTTCTCTAAACATGATAGAAGAAAACACCTCTGATTTAGAAGAGCCAGTGGCCGCTGGAGATAGCAGCCATCCGGAAGATTCAAATTTTCTAACTAAAATCAAGGGTCCAAGTGATGAGCAAAAACGTTGTCAAGGGCAGTCACCCCAGAACGAGCAGACTGGAAAAGCAAGTTCAGGCAGCAGATTCAAATGCTGCCAAGGTCACGCTCATTACCAGCGCCCTGATTTCTCTAAGGCTGTTCCCAAAGTGAAAATTCCTAAAAATGACATAGTTAATAAACCACTTACAATAGCTAAACAAGCCAACTTTTCTCCTAAATTGAGAAGTAAATCAGCTATGGTGCAAGATACCTTGGAAACCATGCCTAAGTCAAATTGTGTTGAAACACAACATCAAGAGCAGAAGGGGAAAATTACTGAGCCTTCACAACAATTACAGGTAAATGAAAATAGTCTCTTGTAAATACATAAGCAGAGCCACTGCTTGTCTACCTCCGTGTGGGTTTGTGGAGGGCACATGGGGCTTGGTTCTGGTTCTGGGGTCTTATTCAGCCTCCTGGGTTACCCTGGGCAAGCGACTTGACCTCCCAGAAGCCCAGCAAATATCCTCATGAGAAGACTCAGGGGCTGGACTGACAAAAGCACACGAGAGAATAAAATCCAAATTTTTCAAGCTGGAATTTGGGTCTGCCCATTTTTAAAATTTAGCTCCCCTCCCCAGGAGTCACCCTCAGTTACCTGGGTGATCTCGAACCTCTTCTCAGGCCCCGAATCCTCTGAGTTCCTACCCTGTGTGGCACATCCCATCTCTACTTACCAAAGACCTGCTTGTTTTCGTGGCCTCCTTTAGTTCTCCCTTGGGCCACATAACTTTTCAGGTCCCCCAAGTCACAGCCTTTTCTGTTCTTGTTTGCTTAGTGCTGTCAGAGCCAGAGTTAATCATCACAACCTGGAAGTGTCTGTTTCTCTCACTGGATTCAAAGCTCTGGAGGTCAGAAACTCATCTTCATCTTTCCACTGCCCACCTTCCCCCAGAGGCCTGGCCTTGTGTCTCACATATATTACGCTCTTAGTTATTGATGCTGAGTTGGATTAAGATCTTTAATAACAGATTTCAAATGTGTACCAAACTTTGTTGATGCTTAATTTATTCTATTCCCCTCTTTCTCTTACCCCATCTTCTCACCCCCTCTACAACTTCCCAACATGCTAAGGCTCAGGATCTCATTGATTATTGAGGTTCAATGGTAAGGTAAATCCACGCTGACAGTCAAAATAAACATTTTAGTTCTTTGGCACCTTGCCAGAACTGTATGATCTTTCTTTGAAGCTTTGTACAAAGGGTGTCCTGGACTAAATGATACTATCTGCCTGTTTCCATTTCCATCCCTCATGCTTCAACTCCCTTCTCTTCCAGTGAAATGCTCTGGGGAGTCTAAGCAGAACCCTGTCCCCCCACATACACACACACCTGGAGCCAGCAACCCCACCTGGCCATGACCAGGATGCTTCTCTAAGTCTTGGAGAAATCTGTACTCCTGTGGGATTTGGAAGCCTTGGGGTTTCGGTTCTGCCTGCAGGAGAACATCCCTGTTGTGCCCAGCGCTCGGTGCCCTCTGGGCAGTAGGAGCAATGTGGATGTCAGGCTCATCTCTCTCTGGCAGTGGGAGTTTGAGGTCAGCTGTCTGACTTTTTCCAGTCCCGTCAATTCAGGTTGGAGAGTTGGACCCTACAGGTTTCATATCCATCATATACTTGAGACACCTGTAATGACCAGAGTCTATTTTGACCACCACCATTTAGCTCTCTGGCACTAGCATGTTTCTGATCTTCATGTGTTAGGAAGGAAAAGGGAGGACTCCCAGGGTGAATCACTCTGGAATTTAAACCTCTGTCCAACTAGCCTGTGATGAATAGAAAACAACCACTATCATCACACGCTTTGGAACTTAACGCATACTGTATTATTCTCCAGAGTTTGGCTACCATGTGTTTGGTGTTGAGAGAGCACCAGTGACAAGGCCAACAACGGCCCTGCCCTCATGGGGCTTATGGTCTAGGTTAAGAGAAATGTGTCAGCATTCCACGTGCTAGCACCAAACGCGGCGGTAATACAGGGAACATGTATTGTTAAATGCTTACCACATGCCTGTTGCAATGGCAGATATTTAACATTTAATCGTGGTAACAATGCCATCAGATAGGTCACTTACTGTCCCCATTTGTGTCATGGGCCCGGCTCTTGACCACGACAGTGGGCTGCCTCTGTGATGACCAGAACACATAGGGTCATTCTGAATAATGGTGTCATTGATTAATATCAACAGTAATGTTTTCTTACCCTTTAATTGTGCAGATGGAACCTACAGTATGTAACCACCAAGAACTGCTCACAGGTACTAACATTTTAAGACTTCTTTGATTTAGATACATATTTTGAAAGCTATTTTAAAAAATAGCAAGGGGTGGTGGCTGCCACAGCCTTGTGTTTTCAGTACTTAATAAAACTGTGATGAGTTGAAATTAATGGTAGCCAAAATGCACTCTTTCTTATTTAGGAATAGAATCTGAGACAAGCCTCCTTAAGGTGTCATCAACACTTCAGAAAGACCCTTCCTCAAATTCTTCTAACATATTTCAAAAGATATGCCAAGGGAAACAGATGTGTAAGAAGTTAAAAGAACAGACTGACCAATTGCAGACTAAAGTAATACTTTTAAAGCTTGTTATAAACAATTGAAGTAACCAAATTCAAATAGGAGCCACCATGCCATTAATAAAAGATTGCATTTTTTTCACTGCAGGTACAAGAATTTTCCAAAAGAATAAAACAGGATTCTTCCTGTCACGTGCAAGATAAGAGAATGGTAATTAATTTTATCCAGTTTTAAAAATCTTTATCAGGGATTTTGACATGGGAAAATGTAAATGACTTTATAGCACCATGTTTTCTCTACAGTGATGGGAGTGGAAACGTTTTGCTGAAGATTAAACTGTCTTTGTTTATGGGGGTAACAGAGTTTGGGGTTGTTTCTATATGTATTTAGCCTTCTTTCGGGAATCTATGACTTCTGAGTGTTATTCCTCACCAGTCACCTTGTAATGAATCTGAGACAAAGTAGTGCCTAGAGAAGAACATGTAAGCCATTATAAAGGGCGGGCCTCCCACACTTGATGGGTCCTGGTGGGTTTAGATTATAAAAATCGCTGGCATCTGGCAACATGACTTTGAGAACTCTTAAAATCAATCTTGAAGCAATGATTTTCAGATCGAAATCTTTTACTTTCACATCTTTGCTTGTTGTTGCATGTAACCAAATCACTAATTTATGCTGTCACCACAACAGCCTTGTTATCAGTGCATGGGAAGTGGGAGTGGAGCAACGGGGCAAAGGGCTGAGCCTGGGAGAACCAGAAATGTGCTGACGTGAAGATGCAGCTGAGGCCGTGGGGTCAGCAACACGGCAGGTGACAGGAGTCCCTACACAGGCACCAGCAAGGTTCGGGGCAGTCTGCACTTCAGATACCCGGCAGTAGGGACAAAAACCAGGCAGACCCAAATGCTAAAAGACACAGTTGATCATTCACTCACCTCACTAATTAAATCATTTATTCATTTGGCAAACATTTATCAGGCACTCTTTATATCCCAGACCCTCTACCAGGCACTTAGGGATTTGGAGATGAAGAAACAATTCCTTTTCCAATGGCTTATAGTCCACACCAGCAATGGACTGGTAAGCGGACAATTAAAATGTAGGTTAAGAAATGCTCCAGGTGGCTGGGCGCGGTGGCTCATGCCTGTACTCCTAGCACTCTGGGATGCCAAGTCAGGAGGATCTCTCAAGGTCAGGAGTTCGAAACCAGCCTGAGCAAGAGTGAGACCCCATCTCTACTAAAAATAGAAAGAAATTAATTGGCCAACCAAAAATATATAGAAAAAATTAGCCGGGCATGTGGCGCATGCCTGTAGTCCCAGGTACTTGGGAGGCTGAGGCAGGAGGATCACTTGAGCCCAGGAGTTTGAGGTTGCTGTGAGCTAGGCTGACGCCATGGCACTGTGGCCCAGGCAACAGAGTGAGACTCTGTCTCAAAAAAAAAAACAACAAGGCCGGGCGCTGTGGCTCACGCCTGTAATCCTAGCTCTTGGGAGGCCGAGGCGGGCGGATTGCTCAAGGTCAGGAGTTCGAAACCAGCCTGAGCAAGAGCGAGACCCCGTCTCTACTATAAATAGAAAGAAATTAATTGGCCAACTGATATATATATAAAAAATTAGCCGGGCATGGTGGCACATGCCTGTAGTCCCAGCTACTCGGGAGGCTGAGGCAGAAGGATCACTCGAGCCCAGGAGTTTGAGGTTGCTGTGAGCTAGGCTGACGCCACGGCACTTACTCTAGCCTGGGCAACAAAGCGAGACTCTGTCTCAAAAAAACAAAAACAAACAAAAAAAAAAACAACAAAAAAACCAACAACATGAAAAGACAAGAAATGCTCCAGGTGATGCTAATGACAGCCCAGAGGGGACCCACCTTTGCCAGTGAGGGGACACTTTGGAAGGCTTCCTGGGAGTGACTTCTGAACTGGGCATTGTAGGCGAATAAGGGTGAGGTTGGCGGAATAGGGGACGAAGCAGTGTTCTAGAAAAAGGAAACAGCAGGTGCAGTGGCACAGGGGAGAGACAGTGCTGCCAGTGTGAGGAGCTGCTTGGCACCGTGATGTACCAGAGGGTGCTCGGATGTGTGGCGAACTGGGAGGGAGGAGACAGAGAGGTGGACGAGGGCTGCGTCATGAAAGGCTGTAAGCCACGCTAAGGAGCTTAGATCTCATCCTGAGGTGGACGGTCGGGGCAGCACTGAGGATTCCAAGCTGACAAATGGGAAGCCACATAGGGGCAAGCCTGTGGGCATGGAGATTGGTTAGGGAGCAATGCAAGTGGCCAGGTACAAGAGCCTGGCAATGACGATGGAGAAGGGGACAAATCTCAGGGTTTAAGGAAGTGGTGGCAAGTGGAAAGGGGTGAATAAAGGACAGGAGGATGCCCAGATGAGTTCCAGATTTCTGGCTTAGGTAACCAAGGCCAGGAATAAAAGTAGAGGATGCAGTCCAGAATGGGTGTGGAAGGCAGGCAGGAGCAGGCAGGCAACTTGAGATGTCAAGTTTAGTTTGGGACATTTGGAGTTTGAGGTCTTTATAGGACATCAAGTGGAGAGGTCCAGTAGGCAGTTAGAGCAATGGGTCTGGCCCTAAATGCTGTTTGGGCCAGAAAGATTTGGGGATATCTGTGGGCTGAAGCTGCGGGGTAGATGAGATTGCTCAGGCAGATTGTGCAGAGTTAGACATGAAGAGGGCCCAGATAGATTCCTGGGGAACAGCAACCAGGGCACAGGTGAGAAGAGGAAAGACCTAAAAGATCCGAGGTAGACCTGGAGAAGCAGAGCCAGAGATGCCAAGAGAAAAGAGGCCTTTAAGAAGGCAGGAGTTGGCCACACCGTCAACTGTTCAAAGAGGGGCCAGGTGCAGTGGCTCGCACCTGTAATCCCAGCACTTTGGGAGACTGAGCAGGAGGATTGCTTGAGGCCAGGAGGTTCAAGACCAGCCTGGGCAACATAGCGAGACCCTGTCTCTCCAAAACAATTTTCAAAAATTAGCCTGCTGTGGTGGTGTGCACCTGCAGTCCCAGCTACTTGGGAGGCTGAGGCAGAAAGATCACTTGAGCCCAGGAATTTGATGCTGTAGTGAGCTATGATCACATCGCTGCACTCCAGCCTGGGCAACAGAGCAAGACCCCATTTCTTAAAAAAAAATGTTCAAGAATGGAAGGAAAATAAAGTGCGCACTGGATTTGGCAAACAAGAGACCACAAGAGTCCTTGTTCAATGAAGTGGTGGATCTAGAAGCAAGATTGCAGGGGTTGAGGAATAAAGGATAAATGAGATCCCCCAAAAGCCAGGATTTCAGGGACTGGCAGAACAGAGAATGTTAAAGGGCTTAGCAGAGCAGAGAGAACTGATTTAAGGTGCTAGCCTTCAGAGGCCTTGATTCAGGAAGTTTCTTCCTGATGTTAGAGGGTAAGTGGGGATTCCTGCTAGGACCAAGAGGAAAGTGGCTCCTGGCGGTGTTGGTCCATGACTGAGGGTTTCAGGCCCGTTTGGCTCAATGTTGCAGGAAGGCCAGGCAGGGCCACCACGAACCACCTCCGTCTGAGCAACACAACACAGCAGAAAGCATTTGGATTTTGGAGTAGACGTCCTAGTTCTACGTATTGATTATATAACATTGGACGTGCCAGGGCATGCTTGTCTTCCATCTCAGACTTGTTGTGAGAATTAAATGAGGCATATTGATGCCTAGAAACTGTGCCTTATTGTATTCTGAGATATATATATATATAAAACACAATTTAAACTCCAAGATTCTGAATTATAATTCATAATTGGCTTTCTTCTCTTCTCTCTCTATCCTTTTTACTGTGAACACCTAATTCCTTCTCACGGCTTTAACTGCCACTCTCATGCTACCAATTCCTACATTCCTTGTCCTGACCTCTCACTCCAGACGTTCGTGCGCGTTCACCTGGGTGTCCCATCCTCGCTGCAAACTCAACCTGTCCAACATGGACATCTTCAAACTTGTTAGCCTTTCTGAATTCCTCATTTTAGTCAGGCCTGCCACATTCTCCTCCCTCCCTGAGCTAGAAACACAGGTGCTGTCTGTGGGATTCACAGCGTCAGTCAGGGTGTTGGCGGGGACCAGGTGGTTACTCAAATGGCCACTGCGGAGTTTAGTACAGGCATTATTGTACCGCAGTGTGGGCCACATGAAGGGAAACCAGTAAGGGGGAGGAAGGGATCAGTGGGAGCCTCTTCATCCTTGGGCCGGAAATAGTCGAGGCAAAGCCAGGCCTGGGGCCTAAGAGAACAGCTGTAGCTGTAGGAGTAGCTGACAAGTCTCACAGCTTTCAGTAGAGGGACCGCAGATGGCATGAGGAGGAAACCAGGGAAATAAAGATTCCTGTCTCATCCTTGCACCGTTGCCCTCCATTAGCTGAAAACAACTGAAGCCGGGGCACAAGGGAGCCTATTGCAGCCCACTGACATTGGCTCAGAGGAAGACGGAAGATGGCGATCTGGGCAAGACCACACTTGCCACCTTTGTACACTGTAGCCAATTTTCCAAGCCCTTGTTTATTCATTTTTAATAAGAATTAATAATAATGGCTACCATCTATTGAGTACATATTAATGCTGTGCTGCTGGCACAATGCATTATCATATTTAATTTTTATAATGCAAGGTGAGGGCTTTTATCTTAGTTTTAACGACGAGAAAACTGTGAACCTTAGAGAATTCACGTTGACTAAAATACAATGAGTAAGAGAGTCTGAACTTGAACCCTGTTGTGTCTGACCCCATAACCCACTGCGCCGTACTTCTGCCCTGGGCAATATATCTCCGCGTCATCTTTCCTCTCCGTTTTCATGGATGCTACCTGGTCCAGGCCCTCCTGTGGATCCTTTAAGGCTGACTTAAGTCTCACTCCTTCCATGGAGTCTTGGCAAAGGAGACTAATCCACAGTCTCTTTTCTCAATGGAATAAAATCCCTAAGACCAGGGATTGTGCCTGATATAATTTTTATATCTCAAGCTTCTGGCCCAGGGCCAGACATAGGCTCAGGGACTGTTCAGCGCCTGGGGATGTGGGGCTGAAGCCGATGCACATCTTCACCACATGACCCATCTGCACAAGGCCGCATGTGCTGACATCTGAAAGACCCACTCACAGCTTTGGCTAAATCTTCCTGCTGTTCCTTCCCCATCAACTCAGACCCGGGCCCTCTAACTTCAGTTCCTTTTTAATATCTATGTGGCTTCATACTTCTGGGAGCTCTAATTTCCTCCTCCATAAAACTGGGATAATAAAATCTACTTTGCAACATTTATAACATTGATGTGTGGGTTAAATGAGGAATGGGAAAGTGCTTTGTAAGCTAAAAATCATTCTGCAAATATACAGGATTATGAATGTCCCACTAAGGGAGTTCGGAGGCCTCTAAGTAGGTTCTGAGAGAGAAATCAGCAGTGATTGTACTTTTCAGCTCTGTGCTGTGAGGGTGTTTTGAGTGTTGAGAAGACTCTTGGGTTGTCTATATTTTAGGTGTCTCACTCTGAAATGAAACAATCAATGCTGCCAGGAAAAGGATGGCAGCTTCATTTTGACACTACTGTGGGGTACACCTACGTTGTGTTTTGGGGAACTACATGCACAGGTTTGCACGTGAATGATTCTAAGTGACTTCACTGCTGCAGGTCCTAAAGCACCTGCAGGGACATCTTGAACTGCTGGAGCAGAAGTTTCTGGCCACCAAGGACACACATCTGGCTCTGCAGCAGCACACCCATGAGCACAAATCTGCAACTGTTGGTGACTTTGATCCAGAAAGGTCAGGTTTAAACCAACTGTGTAATGGGGAGGGGTCAAAGGTGACTTTCTCCAGGTAGGATTCTGATTTGGCTGCTGACTTAGTGCTTGGAAAGCCACTGGTCTAGGGTCAGCAAAAACTGTCACCAATGAACAAAGGGTCACCTCATGCCACAGGTAGTATGGAGGACCCGCAGTGTGGGAGGCACTGTGTTGGGCACTGACCCAGATGGACCATCCAAAGTGAACAGTTGTCTCCTGGGGCAGAGGCATGGTGCCACCATTCTGCATTTTGTGGGATGTCATTGTAACTGGTTCTGAGACCCAGAGAAGCACAAGAAAACCCTAGAAAGGCTTACATGCTAAACGCCGAGGGCCTTCTCCTATCCAAGTTTCTCCTCTCCTCTCCTTCTCAGCTTTCCCTCTGTCTCCCCTCTCCTGCCTTTATTATCCCTGCCTGGTTCTTCTCTTCTGACCCTCTCTTTCCCCCTTTCTTTCCTACCCCCAATAATTCTGAAGGGAAGCGGGCAGGAGAGGACATCATAAGGTTGATTAGTATTGGGGCGAGGGACCCATAAATCCTGACAAAGGAAAACTTTTAAAGCTCAAAGTTAAGTGATCCCTGAGTTAATTCACATTAGAAACTTGGAAGCACACTCCCGATTGAAGTTTCCAGTTGGTGATTTTTATGGCCCCGTACCCTTCTCTCTCCACTCCAGATAATTTTAACATGTATTCCAGGACTAAAGGATAGGATTATTTTCATATAATTTCCTGGTGTGAATTAAAAGAATCTATTTAGTAGGCTTAATATTTGTAAATTCAGCTCTTTCTATTCAGAGCATTTTAACATGGAATCATTGTTGATGCCAAAATGTTTTAATGGTTTGTATTTTAGCACTGGCCTCCTATGGTATTTTTTCCCAAGGTACAATTTTACTTTTTTAAAATGAATGGAACCTCTGTCTACTTTTATTTCAATACTGAGTAATTAGACAGCAAGGATAAGGTTTCAATGTCGATTTTTCCCAAAGGCTTTTTTTTTTTTCCTGGGGAAAAAAAAGATCTCCATATGCTCCTGCTGTTTGTTTTAAAATTAATAGAGTAAGGATATTTATTTTCCAAGGAATCTCTTATTTTGGCAGTCATTTTAAAGACAGGCCTCTGTGCATATTAAGACCAAAGTTATGCAATGTATTATTTATATCCTAGTTACAACCACACTGCGCCTGGCATGGGTATAAATCAAGAGTCTCAACTGCAATTATATCCCATATACGGGAGAAGCTTTCAACACTGGGGCAAGGGAGGGACCTGGCCTCTCCCAAAACTCAGTTAAAGCCACCTCAGGACAAGCAAAGGCTGATCAGCTCAACACTGGTCCTCTTGTTCTCAAACGTGCATAATGTGTTAACGAGCAGAACCACGTACAACCCTTGGGGTCTTCATGTATTGAGAACCTTCTAAGTGTTGAGTCCAAAGTCAGGTAGATGACTTTCTGTAGGGGCCAAGAATTCTGCAAATTCACTAACTAATCACTGGTTTACGTCAGCTGTTGTATTCTTATTAAAACCTTATCATAGACCGGTGCGGTGGCTCACGCCTGTCATCCTAGCTCTCTGGGAGGCCGAGGCGGGCGGATCGTTTGAGTTCAGGAGTTCAAAACCAACCTGAGCAAGAGCGAGACTCCATCTCTACTATAAATAGAAAGAAATTAATTGGCCAACTAATATAGAAAAAATTAGCCGGGCATGGTGGCACATGCCTGTAGTCCCAGCTACTCGGGAGGCTGAGGCAGCAGGATTGCTTGAGCCCAGGAGTTTGAGGTTGCTGTGAGCTAGGCTGATGCCACGGCACTCACTCTAGCCTGGGCAACAGAGTGAGACTCTGTCTCAAAAAACAAAACAAAACAAAACAAAAAACCTTATCACTACCTTTAAAAGGTAATATGCAGAAATATTTGCTTGGGTTTCATGCATCTTGCGTGTCAGAATGTAGTCACACACTCTGACAGCGGAAGCCAAGAAGTCAAGAAATGAGGTTCTAGCTCCATCTATCCTTTCTCCCTGCTATTCTCAGCATACATTCTTACCTTCTGTTTTACAGAAAACATCATGAATTCACTCAAAAATGCCTTTTTCCAACTCCAAATCTCTATGTCCCCACCTCCCTCCCCTTTCTTCCTTCCCTTGCTCTCTGCCTCTTTCAGCCATGGTCCTTGAGCCCATCCCTTCTGGCCACCTTGAGGCCTTCCTTCATGATTTCATTTCTTTCTCTTAAATTTTCAGTCTCTTCTTGTGCCTTGCTTCATTCTCTTCTGTCTGCTAGATCACAAAATATTTTCATATATTTTATTTGATTAATCACTTTGGTTTTTCATGCTCAGATCTTTGTCCTACAACTTTAGGACAGCCTTTCCCTACTGGTTGAAAAAGCACCTTTATCAGATACAAACCCTCCACGTGTGTAAGGGACCAGTTCCCTTCCATCCCACTGACCTATGTTTCTATTTCCACATTATCCACACAGTTTTAAATTATTACAGCTTAGTCTGATTTTTGAATGATGTATTTTAAGACTTTAAATTTTCCTCAGAGTACTGCTATAACTGCATTGTGTGGATTTTCACATGCTGTTCTCTCATATATCATCCACTTGTATATTATCCCCAATATCCATTTCTGTTTCCTATTTAATCCAAAGTTATTTAGATAAGTATTAAAATTTCCAATTAAATAGGTTTTGGGGAGTTATCTTTTTGTTAACTTCTAGTGATAAGAGAGGGAAGGTGGCATAATTTTTAATATTTTGGAATTTGAGATTTTTCTTTATGTACTAACACAAAGTAAATTTTTATAAATGTAATGAATTTGAGGAAAATGAATTCTTTTGTTGGTTATATGTGTATATTTATATACACATGTACATACAGATCTAAACACTTATTATTCAGTTTTTTTGTCCTTCCTCTTTTTCAATTGGCATAACAATTTTTTTCATAGAATCACAGTTCTTAGAATCCCCTACAAGGAACCTCAAAATCACCAAATCCAGATAAAGAAGGTAAAGTATTTTTATCCCAGGGTATAGCTGAGACATTGGAAGCCCATAAAGATTAAGTGATTTACTCAGGGGTACACAGCTAATGGACAGAAAATGAGGATGAGAGCCCAGGCCTTTGGAGTGAAACTATAAACAGGATGTCAGTCAGGGCGAGTGTCCATTATCCTTCCTGTTGGAGGGCAGGCCACATTAATAATACAGATAAACGCTACAGTCAAGAACTGTTGTTACTAATTAGAACACCGACTACATAGCCCAGAAGATGCCTATTTGTTTGTTTACTTAGAAAAGTGGAAGGTGAAATCTTCAAGTTGGAGATCCTACTTGAAGATGTTAAGCAGAAGATTGATGAAAGCAAAAACACTTCAGCCCTCTCTCTTCCTGCAAGTTCTCCAGGCATCCCGGATGGCTTGATATCCACATCTTCTTCACTCTCAAATGAGGTAATATAGCAACCTATGGCCTATTTTTGTGGCAGAAAAAAATGTTTATGTATACGTAGACTCCTAGTTCATGGATTCACTGAATTCTATTTTAATATTTCATGACAACTTAATTTACCAAAGTTCCATGAATATTATTTAAAGCAGAACCAGGTTTTAAAAATTAGAAGATTTTTCAAGTGTTATTTTTATTAGATTTTCTTTTTTTTTTTTTTTGAGACGGGGTCTTGCTCTGTCACCCAGGTTGAAGTGCAGTGGCATCATTGTGGCTCACTGCAACCTCAAACTCCTAGGCTCAAGCGATCCTTCTGCCTCAGCCTCTCAAAATGCCCAGATTCTCAGGGTACTCAGCCTTTATTAGTTAATTTTTTTTAACATTGTATTAGTTTAGGATGTAACAATGTAGTTTAAACTGATAAACCACTGAAGAGTTATTTCTTCGGGATGAATGGCAAAATTTTTGTGGATCATGCCTGGAAGAAATAATTTTTCTTCTTCATAGTTTTGTATTCCTTCTCCTAAATAATAAATAGCACACTCGGTGAAATAATTATTTCCCATGAGTCCACTTCTGCATTTACCTCCTCTCAAGTTAAATTACTTCGGTTTGCATGTGCAAGATTAGGAATTTAAATCAATCACCGCTGTCTATCTACACTTTTTGCTCTTGTAGCCTCAATAATCAGAACATTTCAGATTCTGAATTCTCAGAAATTAAAATTCTGAGAACTGAATCACCTAAATAATAACCTTAAATTGACTCTTTACTTGCACATGGTACTTGAAGACACAAGTTGGGGCTGATATTCAAAACTTGAATGACGTCTTTGTCAGAGCTAAGGACAAGATGATGTAGATTATATAAATGTTAGCCCTTCCCAAGAAGTGTGTTTGCCCCCTCAAAACATCTGCTCGGTAAAATCTCCCTCATTTAGTGGCCAGCCTCAGGGTCAGGTCATTTATGTGACCTGATACCCAGGCAGAATTCTCTGCTCAGGGCTTTGTGTTCTCACAGGGCTGTGTCCCGTGTCTTTGTGCCATTGTACTGACCTTTGTACCCTGAACTTCCGAAATGCCTGGTGTAGGGTGAATGCTCAGTATGGTAAGCCCTGAGCCACTGTGGCAGTGACAACTAATCTCACAAACAGTCCCCCAGGCTCACAGCTTGCTACCCTGCTAGTCCCGGACCTGAACTGGCTTCCGGTTCCGTGAGGCAGCCTAGTCCTCCGCCCAGCAGTGCCCTGGGTCTGGGTTTGCTCTTCCTTACTCTGTCCCAAGCTTACAGAATTGTTGTGAAATGATAACATTGTGATAAGTGGCCCTGAAAAGAGGATCTACTGCTAGTATTACTCATTCATTCAGCAACATTTATTGCTATATGCTAAGCACTTTTCTAGGTAGAAGGGATACAACATAAACAAGGCAGCCAATCACCTGCCCTCAAGATGTTTACGGTTCTGTGAAACATACATTTAATAAAGTGAACATATAATTTCAGAATATTAAAAGTACTATGCAGGAAATAATAATACATTCTGTATAACTCTGAAGCCAGACTACCTGGGTTCAAATACAGGCTCTGTCACTTACTAGTAATGGCTTTGTGAACTTGGGAAAGTTACAGAACCTCTCTGTGCCTCAGTGTCCTCCTCTGTACAATGGGGATAACAAAACCTGCCTCACAGGGGTTTTATGACATTTGAATGAGTTAATCCATGTAAAGTACTTAAAACAGGGCCTGGCTCATAGTAAGCGCATTACCTGGGTGTTAGCTGTCCTGACTATTAAGTAATGGGATATGACCAAAAGTATCTAAACGTGGGAGGGTGGTGTCACCGACGGAGAGATGGTCAGGGACGGTTTCTCAGAGGAGGTGAGATGTGAACTGAGTCCTGGAGGATGAGAAGCTGAGGGGGACTCCAGGCAGGATGCTATGGTGCCCTAGGGGCAGTGTGGGGATGCTGAGCTGGTTTTGAGCCGCCTGGTTGGACTGCGGCCCTAACGGAAAGCCCTTCTGTGCGGCTCCCCCCGGATTCCCAAGGAGCCCCCTGGCTGCCCTCCTGGGCCCGGGGCCTAGGTGGGAGACGACAGGGACACTCTGGGGAGGGCCGCAGGAGGCCCCCTCCAACAAGGAGCCCTGAGAGCTGGCCCGGCAGACTGAGCCCTCGCCCCACAGCACCCGTTGTCAACGGCCCAGCAAGAGGCCCCTTCCTGGTGCAGCTCCGGGAGGGCCAGGGCCCCATACAGAAGCGAGTTTTATCATCCACCGGGGAAGGAAGCCCAGCTCCTCCACCTGCCCCGCAGCGCCCACCTAGTCTGGCCCGCAGGTGCAACCCTCTGGGCAAAGGTCCGAGGGGCAGGACAGCTGGCCAGAGAGGAAGAAGGTGGAGTGGCCACATGAGGGCCACACCACACTCTGCCTTAGATTGCTCGTTCCCACAGTCCCAGGAGCACTAAATTAAGTTCATGATGACTCTTCAGCAGCTTGAAGAAAAGCCAAATGATCCCCAAAGGTGAGACTCCCAGGTAGCTCAAAAAGTGATTCTCTACTGTGCAGTTACCCAGGGGAAAAAAAGAAAAAAAAAAAAAAAAAAAAAAGTGATTCTAAAATTCAGGCCGGGTGTGGTGGCTCACACCTGTAACCCTAGCACTCTGGGAGGCCAAGGCGGGTCACTCAAGGTCAGGAGTTCAAGACCAGCCTGAGCAAGAGTGAGACCTTGTCTCCACTATAATAGAAAGAAATTAATTGGCTAACTAAAAATATATAGAGAAAAAGTTAGTTGGGCATGGCGGCACATGCCTGTAGTTCCAGCTACCCAGAAGGCTGAGGGAGGAAGATTGCTTGAGCCCAGGAGTTTGAGGTTGCTGTGAGCTAGGCTAACGCCACGGCACTCTAGCCCAGGCAAGAGAGTGAGACTCTGTCTCAAAAAAATAAATAAATAAAATTCAAACCTTTTTTAAAACTAGTTACCTCGTCAGAATGGGGATGGCCAGGACCAGCCAGATCGAACGGCTACGGGGCTGTCTTCTGACTCCAGGGTGATGTCCTGTAGCAGGTCTTGGCTCAGCTCTGCGCATTCCCTTGGCTGGTTAGCGATGAGCAGTGCTGCTGACTGGGACTCGAAAATCAGTGTAATCAAGATCACCTGGCTTTTCCTTGCCTGGCACCCTGGGTGTTAGTGCTGGTGATAGCTGCTGCTGTTGCTACGACATTTCCCACGCTTTCAGCACTGGGGAGAAACTTGGCAGGAGTACTGGAACCTACACCAGGGTTTCTCCAGCTCCACTGTGCCTAGGAATCACCTGTGGATCTTGTTAAAATACACGCTGATTCAGTGGGTCTGCGTGAGCCTGCAATTTTGCATTTCTAACAAGCTCCCAGGTGATGCCAATGCTGCTGGTTCAGGTCTGGTGACCACACTTTGAGTTGCAAGGATCTAGAGATTAATCTATTATGAATGAATTGGAAAAACTGGGATTAAAAACGCCCGGGTCTAAAATTATAGCAACAGTATAGTAAGCAGTAAACAATAATATAATAATTCTGTTGGTTCAGAGCTTTACAGTTTGCAAAGACTTTTAGCAGAGGAGAAGTAGCTTAGAAAGGTAAGATTTGCCCAGGGCAAAGAACGGAAGATATTACAGCCCAGGTCTGCCAACTCCTACCTCCCTCCATTCTACTGTAAATCTGCCTTAAATATCAAGTGCAGGGGTAACTGTGTAAGCTTAACAGGGATAAAAGAAAAGACAAGGGAGTTATGGAGGGAATAAAACCTATTTTGTAAATTATAAAAGCAACGTATATTTATTGCAAAAAAAATCAGAGAATAGAGAAAAGTAGAAAGAAGAAAAATCATTGCTAATATTTTAGTATATATCCTTCCAGCTTTTCCCCTGTATATGCATTTTTGCAAAAGTGGGATCTTACTGTATGTATTGTTTTATGATCTGCTTTTTAATTTAACATTGTATTGTGGGCATGTCGCCACATCATTTAGAATAAACCTATAGCTTCATTTTTAATGACTGCATCATATTTCATTATATGGATGTATCCTGACTTATTTAAACAATCTCATAGAGATGGACATTTAGTTTTTTCCAGTTCTTTGATTTTATAAACACTGCTTCAGGTAACATCATTTTACATGTAAACTTTTATCCATAGTTGTTTATTTCCTTAGAATTAAAACCTAGTATTAATGGGTTAATGGGTCAAATGATACACATTGAAAACCCTGATGACCCAGACTTTAGAACTGTGGCCTGGTTCGCAGGCCCACAGCAGGGCCTGTGAGTGCTGGTGTCTCCAACCTGAGCCCACCCCAGATATTTTTTCTATCCTTTGCTGAAGTGATAAGTGAAAACTGGTATCTCATGATTTTAATCTATTTATGAAATCCAACCTATTTTCATGTTTCTTAGCCATTTGCACCTCCTCCATGACATCCATATTTTAACTTATGTTTGCAAAACTGAAACGACAGTTTTTTTTAAACAAATTAACTGCCATGAGTTGTATTTAACTCATGCTAGTTTTGAGCCCGGGGCCTCGTGAAGCATATGTATCTCACACATTTCTTCACCTTTACCCTTATGAACTATTTTTTAAGTTGCATATAACTCACGCACAGAAAACAACTAAAAATAACAATTTGTCATTAAATTAGAAAGGATCGTTTTGTCTTTGAAGTTTTTATTCTATTTTCATAATAAAACAGTGGCCCCCCAAAATAAATTTTTTTTCAAGTGTGGCAGTCAATGTGTTAAAAAAGGGCAGATAACTGGGAAAATATTAAGAGCAAATAATGTTCAGTGTTAAGATCTTTGTTATATCACATGCTCTGACAAATGCACAAAGGAGCAGAATTGTGGTTAAGGACACAAATGTGCAAGGTGGCTCACACCTGTAATCCTAGCATTCTGGGAGGCTGAGAAGTCCCAGCTACTTGGGAGGCTGAGGCAGTAGGATTGCTTGAGCCCAGGAATTTGAGGTTGCTGTGAGCTGGGCTGACGCCACGGCACTGTAGCCCCAGCAACAGAGTGAGACTCTGTCTCAAAAAAAAAAAAAAAGACACAAACGTACAAGTCAGACAGGTAGAGGTTCAAATCCCAGCTCAGTCAGGGATGGGGAACCTGCAGCCTTCTGATTTCAAGACGTTCTTTTTTAAGCACCAAAGAAGGCAAGAAAAGCTTCATTGTTTTCTGCTCCACCCTTTTAATAAAAGGATTTGTTCTGTAAAATTGGGATTCAGTCAAAAGGGTGCATGCACTTAAGGACCTAGAAGGCCGGGATGTGGCCTTAGGGCCTTGGTTCCCCACCCTCGCATGGCCTTGCCAAGTTGCTTACATTCTCTGAGCCTCAGATTATTCATGATTAAAACAGAGACAACCTGCCAGGAAGGTAGGATGGAATGAGGCTGTACGAGAAGCACCTGGCACATGATGAACAATCAACAAATGGCTGACTTTGTTACTAAGAAAATGCTGAAACCCTCCAAAAAAATTAATGGACAAAGGATAGGAACTAAAAAGTAGGAAATACAGCCAATAAATATGCATATGGGAGAATGCTTATCTCCTTTAATCACAGAGGAAATGCTAATTAACACAAGGTGCCACCCCCCCCCCTTAAATTAACAAAAACATTTTCGAGTGATAATTCCTGCTGCCGAGGAAGGTGTGGTCACACTGAGCCGTCCACATTGTTGGCGGCTGTGTAATCCGTGCAGCTTTTGTGGAAAGCAGTTCGGCCACACGTATCATCACACGAACATGTTGGTAACCTTTGGCCCAGTCGTTTCCTCAGGAAGTAATTCAAAATGTGGAGAAAGCTGTGTGCAATAATGCTTCTGCCAGCATTGTTTATGATGACGGAAAAAGCACATTTATTATCTGCTCACATGAAGGCTAAGCTCATAGTCAAAAATACGCAGTGGGTGGTTTCAGATCAGTAGTGCAATTGTTTTGTGTTAAAAAGGGACATAGAACCGGTCGTTTGGGCCTCTAGTCAGTCCCTGACCTATTTTAATTCACAGTTGAACACATTTCTTTTTAGCTTTTTTTTTTTTTTTTTTTTTTTTTTTTTTTTTTTTTTTTTTTTTTTCAGGCTAGAGTGAGTGCCGTGGCGTCAGCCTAGCTCACAGCAACCTCAAACTCCTGGGCTCGAGTGATCCTTCTGCCTCAGCCTCCCGAGTAGCTGGGACTACAGGCATGCGCCACCATGCCCGGCTAATTTTTTTATATATATATATCAGTTGGCCAATTAATTTCTATTTATAGTAGAGACGGGGTCTCGCTCTTGCTCAGGCTGGTTTTGAACTCCTGACCTTGAGCAATCCGCCCGCCTCGGCCTCCCAAGAGCTAGGATTACAGGCGTGAGCCACAGCGCCCGGCCTTCTTTTTAGCTTTTAGAGCTCTAACCAGTGGTCAGATGAATAGATTTAGAAATTATCTTCCTAAATCTGTTCATCCTGTGGGGAAGCTTGGATTAATGTGAAACTAAGGGAAAGGAATAAAAAGGGAAAAGCATTCTCTCATCTGGACACCAGATTTTCAAATCTGTTCAGAGGAGGCAAGAGGAAACCAGGGTGACAGCTGCTTTTCATAAGCCGAGGGCCTTAGAGGCACTGACCCCACCGAGAGACACATCGGAACTAAGCACGGGCTCTTTTCTTCCTCTCGTCCTGCTGGCCTCCGTTTCCCCATTTGTAAGAGAGGCTTGGCGAGTTCAGGCGGGTCTGCGCTGCTCGCTGGGCCCCGCGTGCAGCCAGGGGGATGAGTCACATCCTCTGTCACACCCACGGCTGTGTGTGCTTTGTGGTGCAGGAGGACCTCTGCGGCACCTTGGGAACGAGGCAACATGCAGAGACGACGGCGCCCAGTCTGAGCTGTGCCTTCTGCCGCCAGCTCCTGGAATGGTGAGGCTCTGGCTGCTACATTCCCGGGTGGGTAGGAGTCCGTCCCAGGAGAACAACTTCCGTGAGAGTGGGCAGCAAGCGACAGAAGGCACTGGCTGAGTTACAGAATCACGGACCTCAGGGCTCGGCACACAGCCCAGGCTCTCTCCCACCTTGCAAATCCTCCAGCAGTGGTTCTCACTGGGGAGAGTATCAAAACCACCAGGGGAGATTTAAAAGTAATGCACATGCCTCCATCCCATTGACAGCAGCAACATTGCCAAGGGTGGAGCCCGGGTGGGAACACAGCTTTTAAATCTCCCTAGGTGGTTCTGATAAGCACCCTTGGTTAGGAATCCCAGCACGTGGAGGGTGGTCCTGTAGGCTTTGTTTGAACATGACCTAGACGGGGGATTATTATCCACCACCATATGCCAGCTCCCACTGTCCCTACTCTCTCCTTATGAGCAGAAGTCTTCCTTGTTGGGTCCCACCTGTGCCCCGCAGTCCCAAGAACAAGTCTCATCCCTCCTCTCAGGGCTGACTTCTCCCCATTCCCAAGCAAGAAATCTTCTAGAGCCAACAAGCTGTACATCCTGTAAAATCCTAAGGAGAAATCCTTACTGTTTTCAAAATGCTCATTAGATAAACTGGTAGCCCATGTGGATTCCGAATCATTTATTTGAAGTTTGTATTAGGTAAGAGAGGCGCCACCTCTAAGCTCACCGTGAACCTGTGCCAAAGCTTGGCTAATTTACCTTCCAAAGGTCAGGAGTCAAGGAGGGAGGAGCTGTTGAGCAACCACCAATAAATGTGCATAATGGACTCTAATAGAAGCAGATGACAAGGTCTGAAAGACCGAAGCTTCCTCTTAGAAAGCATTCCGTCACAGGATGGGCACTTAGCAGTCTATTGAGTTTCTGCCCATAAAAAAAGAAACAGCATGGAGTTTGTGCTAAAATTACCTTGTGTCATTTGCTGTGGGGTCATCACTTTAAACTACCATGTCAGTCATCAGCTTTGAGCTGTCCTTTAAACACAAGGGGCACTAATGAAGCTTACTCACTGAGTCATCCCAGGCCTACTGTTTTTATTTACTGAATGAATTAAAGTTTAATTTGGAATTTTTAAAAGGTTTTATGAAGTATAATAAAAATATTTTGACATTTATAAAATATTTTGATTAGCATCAACATACTAAATATTTCTCTTCCAAACTCCTAGTCTAGACCCTACAGAACTATATAAGTACCAACACAGGGACCAAGATTCCAGACTAAATGTACTTTTTATGATGGAGAAGGTGCAAAGAAAAGCACAACCAAGTGGATGATTGGGTCTAGCAGTGAATCCACTGCTGGGGAGTGATGAGGAGATATATTTAATGCATGACTTATGAATTGAAATCTTGGCAAGCTACATAATTCCTGAGGAATGATTAATTTAAGGGAGGACTATACTTTTTCCTCTGTTAGAAGATTAAATATCTCTCTGATGGGATGTGTTCTTTATGAAGCTTGCTGATGTACATACTCTTCATAGGATATTTATAAATTGTATAATATATGTAAATATATGTGGATAAGTAATACATAAAATGTAAAATGCTTATCCCTTGATGTTATTTCTGCTGCAAAATTTTGGATTTAAGAATACACTTTAGCTACTTTGTCTTGCTGAGAAACTGTCTTTCTCCAGTAGAATTACGTTTGGCCAGAAGATTTTAGAGCACAAAGGAGTTTAAAAACAGAAAAAGTCATGTGTTGGACTGCACCCACTTGAGTGAGATCCAAGTTTCCCACTTTGGAAAGCAGATGTTCAAATGCCCCAGAGGAGGAGGGTGGAGACAGAAAATGAGGTGTGAGAAGCTATGTGACTCAGAGGGAGAGCATGTTTTTCCAAGAGGAGGGAAAGGACCTGGCTTCTCAGCTCCAACCCCAAGAACCCCCAGCAGCAGGCCCAGGCACAGCTGGATGAGCACAGAGCACGCAATTGCCGCATTTGCCCGGAGAGGCCACAGGCTCATGCCCCAGCCCCCGGCAATCAGCCTTACTGGTGCAAGGATATCTTACACACGGTGCTCTCCACACTAAGAATGAGCAACTTATCCTGGGGGCTGTTACTGTTTCCCAGGAGCTGAGCAAAAGCTTTATTAAGAACTGTTATTAGAGTTCCTTTGGAGGAGTTAGAATTTCTGTGGAGGAGGGAGGACAAGGCTACAGGCAGGTCACAGGAAGGCTCCTGATCAATGTCGATTGCAGTTGCCGCTCTCCCACGCCCCCTGGTGGCCATAGACAACTAAAATGAACTGCATGTGCTCCTGGAGCCTTTAGTGCCACAAACGTATTTCATATGTGGGTGTGCCTTTACTTAAACAATCAGACAAAACTGGGCAGACACCGGACAAAACCCACTTTGCATACATTTTGGATACATTCAGATGGTATTTATAGAGCCAAAGCTATGTGACCCAGCATGATGTATAGCATAGCTTCTTCCCTTGATAAGGACTGATTTTGAGACAAAAATATGAGGAAAACTCCAAATTGTATAATTCCATACTTCAAATTTCTGTTTTGTGTATGTACATATGATGATTAGCTATCATCATCTGCACAACAAAACATTTATTTTCCATGTCTTGTGTACATATTGTTATCAGGCCAAACTGTCCAGGGTGCAGCTTCTTACAGGGAGGCTCTCAGCAAGGCAGGCAAGTGGGGGCCCCTGTGCCGAGGACAGCAGCTGCTCCTACATTGTTCCAGGCTCCGACACAACAAATTTAACATTTCAGTTTTACTGATACTTGCCCTATCTCAAGTAGAAGTGCACTAAAAGTTTATGGGATCTTAATGCACGTTTTTTTAGGAAGCAAAAAATGGAGAAAAAAGGCCACAGAAGGATCAACCTTGGAGGGTTTTCAATTGTCCTTGAAGAAAAGACACTCTGCTTGGATTCAACTCTCAGTAAGCTGAGGGGCCTGGGGCTGTGGGTGTTCAGTCCTCAGGGTCCCTCTCCATGAGGTCTGCTCATGGTGGGTACCCGCTTGCTACCTGACACTCCAAAAGCACTGCCCTAGATTAGAGTGTTGCATGTTGTATTATTTTGGGGGGGGGGCAAAATGTGAGGAATTAATAATTGAATAGATTTGAATAAGATGTGGTCAAGTAGGGTGAAGTGCCAACACCTGTTTCTAGCTGGAATCGCAGGACTCCATGGACTCAGCCACAAGGGTCCTACAGTCTGTCTGTCCCCATCCTTTCCACATGACCCATATCTGTACTGGTAAGGCTACCCACCACGTGGGAGTTGCTGCTGACTCGATCAAATGCATTTCATAGAAGCAAAGAAAGTTAGAGCTGGAGGAGCCCAGAGAGTAGCAGTGCATGGCATTCAATGATTTTTTAGTCTTTAGATCTTCTCTCCAAAGACAGTTTAAGCAGAGAAACTGCCCGGGGGTGGGGAGAGGTATGAGCAGGGGCCTGTCTGCTCAGGCAGCTCCTAGGCTTGAAGATCACCACCAAGCCTAATCTACCCAGCTCGTGCACGAGGGGCCTGGGGCCACAGCTCACATTCATCCTGTCTGCTGCCCCGAGCCGGCTCCAGCTCAGCATTCTGTTATGTCACATGCAGTTCTATGCCGGCCTCTCTCTAGATGAAACATTTCCAAATAATAATAATAGATTTCACTTCCACACTTAATTATACCAGATGCTGTAACAGAGTAGCGGTTTCCAAAGTGTGGTCAGAGAGCCCCTGGGTTCCCTGAAACCCTTTCAGGGGACCACAAGGTCCCCCCTTTACCAGCTATATATCTGTGCAAGGATAATATTGCCATGATTGATGGAGAGGCAGCTGTGGAATCCAGCTGACTTTTAGTAAGCCAGATAGTCAAGATATTTGCCAAAACATGAAACAATGCCATTCTTCTAATATTTTTTATTTTGGAAAATATGTTATTTTGTTAACATGAAATAGATTTATTATTGTTAAATGATAGAATGAATAAAATTTTAATGTCTCAGTTTAAAATTCTAAGAAAAGCCTCTGAGCTGCCCATTCAGTCTTGGGAAAATATGAAAGACTCTGCACAAGCAAAAATGTTTTGCAATTTATACATCAGTCCCTCTCTACTAACCCATCTGCAGCTGACTAAATGTTACATGGTAGCTCTTCTGTAATGTAGGGGGAGATTTTCACGTTAGTATAAAAGATGGTATATATTATGATATATGGCAGATAAAAACCACATAAAAGCTCTCAAGCAGGCGTACTCAAACTACTGCTCTAAAGGGTCCTCAATTTTAAATGTTGAAAAGGGTTGTGAACTATTAATATGGACAATGTGTATCATTTAACTATCACAACATCTCTGTAAGGTAGGAATTAATATCTTTATTTTATAGATAAGGAAACGGAGGCTCAGAGAAATTAAGTGACTTGCTAGGGCCAAAGAGCTATCTATTGTTGTGTAACAATGTATCCCAGAATTTAACGGCTCAAAACAACCAACATTTATTATCTCACAGTTTCTGTGGCTCAGGAAATTAGCAGCACCTTAGCTGGGTGGGTCAGGCTCAGGGTCTCTCGTGAGGTGCAGTCAAATGTCAGCCAAGGCTGCAGTCATCTGCAAGCTTCACTGGGGCTGGAGGATCTGCATCTAAGATGGCTCACTCATGTGATCAGTGTCAGATCTCAGTTCCCGGCCACGTGGGCCTTTCCAATAGGCTGCCTGAGTGTCATTATGACATAGCAGCCAGTTTCCCCCAGAGCAAGTGATCCAAGAGATAGAGGAATACCGAGATGGAAGCTTCAATGTCTTTTGTAGCCTGGTTTTAGAAGTTATAAGCCATCACTAACCACTTTACTTGTTAGAAGTGAGTCACTAACTCCAGCCCCCACGCAAGGAGAGAGGAATTAGGTTCCACCTTTTAAAGAGAGTGTTGAAGAATTTGTGGACATATTTTCAACTATCACAGCTAATAAGTGGCAGAGCCAGCCTTCAAACTCATTCCATTGGTGATTCGTACTTTGAAAGATAATGTTAGCAGTGAGTGTGATCATGAGTGCACCAAGGCAGGAAGCACTGGAAGAGGCTTTGTCCCCTGGCTGCATGTCTCCTGCAGCTGAGATGTTGCTTGGCCAGGTCTACCATGCTCACCTCTGGCCCCAGGCTCTTGTGCTCTGGCCTTATCTGGAGTGCGTCACTGCCCACAGCCTGCCGGACACGTTCTCGACCTGCACCTGTCATGCATGTGCTCTGCTACTAGCTTCTCTGAGGCTAAGAGAAGTCATGATGCAGGTTCCTATACAGGCATATGACTGTCACACAGAGGAAAACCATCTTTCCAGTTGCCTGGTTGACAAAACACAAGCTCTTGACTGCAGCAGGGTCTGAGAGAAAGAATGTGGATGTATCAGGGCAAATCTGGAAAAACGAATACAAAATGCAAGATTATCGGATAGTTCAGTGGGCCAATTCTCATAGATCATTCACTCTGCAGACCTTTACTAAGCACTTATATATGCTCAGCACACCTTGAGACTTTCATATCAGAACTGCTCGGACCCTAAGTGTTATCCCCAAGCTGGTAACTCCCCTTGGTAACACAGCCAGGGTGCTGAACATTTTGGTGGCTAAAACACACCCTGCACAGTCAGAGCACTACTCTCCACATCACATTTTATGACTATAACCAAGACTTACACTTCCCTTTGTGTTACGGGCTTTTTCAGGTTCTAATAAAGGACACGGCTTCTGTTCTGATCCTGGAACTGAACGGCAGGGTAGCAAATGTGAGGACTGCGGCACTAAGATTCCTAACTCCAGAAGAGTCTGCAGTCAAGAACCGCTTAAAGGTGAGACACACTTGAGGGCCTCAGGAAGGAGCGACGGGACAGCCAGTGTTCCCAGGCAATGAATTGTATTTTTAATCTTTTCTTTTTAGAATTTCATTACAGATACAACACTCCAGGACAGAATTACTTAAATCATAGCAAAAGAGGTGCCTTTCTCCAGCTCTGCTCTTTAGATGAAAGCAAAACTTCTTCACCTTGTAAGTGGACCTCCTGCAGGATCCCATTCATCAGCAACCCAGCCTCCCAGGCATGGGAACCCCTGTGAAAGTGGCCTCTGCTGATATCTGGGGAGCCCTGGCCTCTCCAGCCTGCTGCCCAGGTCTCCGGCACCACATGACACTTCCAAATCCAGCTCTACTCCTGCATGGCAAGAGGCTGAGCTGGGGCTGGGAATCTGAATGCCAGTGACCAAGGACTCTGAAAGTTATAAAGTGCTATACCAGTGCAAGTTGGTAACAGCTCCTAAATGTTTCCTGAAGAAATGACTGACTGCATAATCACCACTATTATTGTTACTATTCAGGAGTGGCTAATGCTTTATAAATATATCCCCACTAAAAGCCAGCGTGTAGAGAAATAGACTATTTTTTCACTCCTTAGACATGTGGCTAATTTCCACTGCACAATTTTGCTGCCTTTGAAAAAAAGTTAAAATCTCACAAACATTTATTTATAAAGATGAATGACAAGGCTGTTCCCTCTCAAGCAGTTTATAATCTGAAAGGAACTTATACCCAAATAAGGAAAGTTCAAGGCAAAATGTGTAAGTGCTAGAAGTTAGTCAAAGTATGCTAAGGGAACACAAAGGAAGGAAGGAAATACTCCCTGTTTTATCACTGAATGACAGCTATACCTGGTTCTCAACATCCTTTGCTTCACACCTCTCCCTCTCTTGGACAGGGCACCAGAACGTTTCTGATCTTTCACAATCACCAGTGCCCAAGACTGGAGACCTCAGCCGTGCCTCCCTTCTCACCCCCAGCTGCCAAACCCTCCAACTGGATGTATTCTCCCATAGTGACAGTCACTAAAACTGCAGAAGCCACAGGGTCGACTTTACTAATCTCCTTTGTCTTTGGTCTACACTGGCAGGTGTCCTCAAACTACAGCCCGCGGGCCACATGCGGGTGTTTTTGCCCGTTTGTTTTTTCACTTCAAAATAAGATATGTGCAGTGTGCATAGGAATTTGTTCATAGTTTTTTTAAAACTATAGTCTGGCCCTCCAACGGTCTGAGGGACAGTGAACTGGCCCCCTGTTTAAAAAGTTTGAGGACCCCTGGTCTACAGCTTTGAGACCTGCCATTCTAATATACGAATGAGGAATGCAACTAAGTCATCTGAAATGTGATCTTGAACTCCATTAGGAAACATATAGTGGCTAAAAGGGTAGCAGTTATAAGGAGGCAGCTTTTCCTCAATGTTTAAAAAAGACCCTGGTAGCAGTTGGGGCTGACAGAAAAATGGGGTGGGCTATTGCAGGAGGTCGTGAGCCCCGTCTGTAGACTAGGAGACAAAGGACTTTGTCCCGATGCTGCAGATGTGTACGTTGGGCCAGATAACCCTGTGATCCTTTCTGACTCTGTTTCCGATAAAACTCAAAATTACATCTGGAGACTACCAGAAAATTAAAACTGAGCTCATTAGTGTCTCTGTTCATATCGACCCAAGTCTGGGTGGTCAGCGTGACTAAATGTGGGCTTTCTGGCTTCTGCCCTGCCGTCCATATCTGAGGGACAATTGCTCCCACCATCCCTTGCCTGGTGGACCCTCCTGAGGGTGAGTGGGACCTTCACACCAGTGAAGGAACAGGAGACCTGGAGGGAGGAGGGGAAGAGGGATAGCAAAGAGGAGAAGGGAGATTGGTTGGCCACTGACTTGTCTCTTTTACTTTCCCTGGCAATCTTCTTGTCTTTCCCACATTTTTTTCTTTTCTGTTTAGTCTCTATATTCTGGAATTGTCTTAGTAACACGATTGTTCTGACTTAATCCTAAAGTTAGAAAGGATTTCAGGAATCCATCTGGTCCAATCTCTTGGAAGCTATTAATATTATCCCTCTATTTATCAGATAGAGCAGTTGAGCCCAGAGAAGTTCAACATCAAGCCCAGGGAACCTAAACTCCTGGTCTCTTATCTACTAATAAAACAACTTTTAAAAGTTGAATTTCTTTTTCTTAATTCAAAATACTTAATAGAAAGTATTAAATACTTAATACTTACTAGCAATAGAAAGAATGTTTTCTGTTACCTAGTTTTCTTATTTATTAACATTGTATGAAATATTTCAAGCAGAAAAGTTCAGGAAATGATGCTCACATATGCACCATCTGGGATCATTTTTGATGCTCTGAATTTAATCATAGCTAACATTTTTCAGCTCGCTCAAAACCAAAACGGATCTGTTCCCAACGAGTGAATTCAAAATCCTTTCAAGGTGAACATGAGCCCACAGCAGGAAAGTAAGTATTATTTTACTATTACTAATAACAACAAAAACATCTATCATTGGTTGGGTACATACAATGTATTTAATAGTTAATTACCTACCCAAGATTACCTAGGTCATAAGTAGTAGAGCCAGGATTCAAACCTAAGCCTATCTAATACTTCAGTCATTCATTTGTTCATTCAATAAATGTTTTGAGTGCCAAAAGTAGGTCATTGTGCTAGATGCTGCAGACACAGTGACACAAGCAAACACTCACTGTCCCTGGTCTCATAGGGCTTACAGTTTTTGGTAGAGGAACCAGTTTTTGTAAGTGCCAAGAAGAGGATGTACAGAGTGCTAGTCACTAATTTGGGGGTTCAGGGAAGCTGAGCTCCAAAGGATAAGTATGAATGAACTAGTGAGAGGACGTGGGGATAGGAAGGAAGAACATTCCAGTCTAAGAAAGCTTCCTGACGTGGGAAGGCCCTTGGCATGTTTGGGAATGGAGTGGCAGTGGAGCAAGATGAGGCTGGAGAAGGCGGGCGGGATGGGTAGGGCCAGGCTGGCTGGGCAGGGGCTTGTCAGCTCCAGGAAGGATTTCAGACTCTGAGGAACAATGGAAGCCAGTGAAGTTCTTTAGTGTTTTAAAAGATCGCTATAGCTACTGAAGCAGGGGGAGTGAATCAGAAGAGTCAAGGCTGGGCACAAAGGCCAAATAAGATGCTAGTGCAGTAATCCAGGTGAGATGATGTGGCTTGGCTAAGGGTGGTGGAGATGGAAAGGGAGGAGTCTGTGTACTCAAGAGCTCTGCCAAGAGGCAGAACCAGTAGCATAGCAGAGTGGCTAATGGTTCAGGCTCTACAATCAGACCTACTCAGTCTGAACCAACTACTCACTCCTGTGGTATAGTGTTTAGGAAGGTGGCCTTTGGAGACTTCTTGGGTTTTCATCTCTATTCTGTGTTCTTGGACAGGTTACTTGATTTCTCTGTGCCTCTGTTTCCCCATGTGTAAAGTGGGAATAACAGCGCCAAACTCACTGAAACACTCAGAAAGCGGTTACCTAGCTCGTGATCCGTACTTGGCAAGTGATGGCTGTTATTAATATTGGTGACGGTGGAGACTGACTGGATGTGGGGAGAGAGAAGACTCCGATGCCCATACTCTTCCCATTGCCCCACACTGCCACCCCCTGCCCAGAGTTCTCCATCAGCAAGGGCCCCAGATGCTGGACCACCTCTCAGCTGGAGGATAGGTCCGATCTATTAAACTAATCAGCAGAACCAACTACCATTAATGCAGTAGGGGAGAGGGAAGACGGGGGAGGCTCTGAGGTCACAAGCATTTAAAGTGAGACTTTCTGGAGATGACATTGCTCACAAGTGTTGCATGTACCAAAGAAGTAACAGAGGAAACCTTAGCTTTGGGAAGGTGTGAGAGTGGTTCCATGACAGACCTATGGATGGGCAGGTTCTTGTGGTGTCCCTTAGGGCCACCACTCGTGGTTGTGAAAAGCGTAACTCTAGGCAGTGCTCTTCACAGACTGTGGTTAACCCTCCCCCCACCCAGAGCCATGCAGTGCACAACCTGAGCAACACAGCAGCCCTGCACCCTTCATTCACCTGGTGCAGACTTAGGCTCCTCCCTCAGACAGAATCGGTAACTACAGTGTGAGAGTCAAGGGCAGCCCACTAACTTAAAGAGGTGCTGCTTTTATTTTTCTGCTTCTGCCTCCTGGGGGCATAAGCTCTCTGGTGCTAGAGTGAACTCAACCCAAGGTGCCTGCAACTGGCAGTTTTATGTATTTGTTTTATAAATATGTAGGGTAGAAGGATGGCCCTAAAAGAATGAAAACTGAATAAAACAATCTCTTTGGAGTCTTGCCTCTTTCTGTATCAAAGGAAAAGGAGACAATTCCAGGAGGAAAGACCCTCTTGGTCATGACAACCACCACCTTCTGAAGCTCGGCTGTGGTCAGCCACAGGAGACTAGGACAGCTATGAAAGGCATTGGGTGCACGACCCCACGCCCCCAAACATAGAACCATTACAAAACCACAGCACTGACCTCAACAGGACAGTGTGCTTGATGGTGGTGCTTTACACAAGTATCGATGTGCTCTTGCTTTCCAGGAAAAATCTTCAGGCTTTTGTCGCTTACAGCTCAGACTCTTCAATACCCTCATCCCACTTGAACTCCAGCATGATCTCTGGAAGGAAATCCTTATGTGACTTTGATAGCACTGAAGAAACAAAATCTGAGGTGAGGACTTGGAAAAAACACTCTAGAATCCTTTCAGCTTGTCAGTTTGTTCTTGATGACCAAAGAGCTGATAGCTTTTAAGTTATTACAGTATTGGGGCTTCTGCTAAAAACAATTTTGTTTCTGCTAAAAATAATTTTGTGCTCAGCACTAACCTAAAACCATGCAGTCTTAGCAGCCACATGATTTGTATTATTCCTAAATTGGTCCAAGGGAAATTTCCTGAAGAAAGTGTTTTGTGGGTGGTGCCTCAGCTATAGGATTCCCCTGGCCCAGGCTTGAAGGCGCTGGAGCCCGTCCCAGTGACACTGTGGTTAGGGTTGCCAGTCGTTTCCTACCTTCACATCAGTCGCTCTAATTGCCAGGCCACTTTTGAACCTTTCCACATGTCTGTGCTGTATCCCTGGGTGCCCTCTCAGTGGTTATGGCCCCAACCCCCCTTCAGTGGCCCCCTAAGAGCTTTTTTACTTTCTTTGCAGCAGGGAAACAGCCCAGGAGGTCACTGACCTCACCCTGTGATTCATGCTCATCAGTCACATGTTAATCTTTTTTCTATCCCTTTCCCTAACAAATATATTCCATCTCAGGCTGGTTTCCTAGGAAACCAACCCTCAAAAACAGAAATAGACTATGTGGAAAACAAATCTCACCCTGTAATGTTTAATAATGAAAGAACCCAATTAACAAAAATAGGAGTAAGTTTGTGTAATTCAAATGTGTGGGCTTTTCCTCTATAGGTTTTAAATGTGGCTTTGGATCATGCCCTAAAGACAGCAACCAATTTGAAGGAAACTACTGATCAAATGATTACAACTATTGCAGAAGATCTTGCCAAAGCACAGAAGTGGAGAAATCGACTGAAACACTAGTTCAACCCAAGGCAACCAAGGTTTTAAAGAAAAAAAAAAAAAAGAGAAAAGAAAACTGGATCTTTCCCAAAATGTATTTTACTTATTACATGCGTTAGGAAGATGACTTTCTAGAGAAAACACCAAAACCATAAGAAATGGGTAACACAAAGTACTTAAATCAAAAAAAAGCAAAAACAAAACAAAACAACAAAAAAACCCCTCTGATCCTTAAGTTGAAAAGCAACCAACACATATTTATTTTAAAATAAATCTATGTTCTTCCTAACTCATAATAAATCAAAACAATGAGATTCCCTTTAACCTATTAGTCTGAAAAAAATTAAAAATTTGAAAAAACCCTGTCAATGAGAATGGAGAAAAAACAGGTACTCTCATGCACTGCTGGTAGAAGTGCAATGTTTTTAGAAAGCTATTTAACAATATCTACCAAATTCCACAAATTCCAAAGCACTTATCTTTTGTGAGGCAATTCTGCTACTAGGAATTTATAGCTAAGTCACCGAATATGCCATGACATATGTACAAGGAGGGCCACTGACCACTGAATGGTAATAACTGCAAGGAGAACTAATCTAAATACCCTGTATGATGAATCATAAATGATAATTCTCTGCAGCCACTGAAAAGAATGAGGTGGATTATCTGAAAGACAGTCGGTGAAAAAAACAAGATGCCTAACAATAGTGTGATCTTATTTGTGTATGTTTTTTTTGAAGGGATATATATTTTCTGGAAAGATACATAAAAATCTTAACCTTTAAGAAATAAAACTGGAAATGTTGGGGGAGGAAGGAATTTTTATTTTTATTTTCTGTACTGTATGAAAGTCTTACAGTATGTTTTATTTATTTTTTGAGAGAATGTCACTCGATTGCCCCAAGTAGAGTGCAGTGGTGTTATCATAGCTCCCAGCAACCTCAAACTCCTGGGCTCGAGTGATTCTCCTGCCTCAGCCTCCTGAGTAGCTGGGACTACAGGTATACAACACCATGCCTGGCTAATTTTTGGTAGAGATGGGGTCTTGTTCTTGCTCAGGCTGGTCTTGAACTCCTGACCTCAAGTGATCCTCCTACCTTGGCCTCCCAGAAATGCTAGGATTACAGGCCTGAGCCACTGCACCCAGCTTGAATATGGTTTATTATAAATTCAAATTGTTTAAAGATCTCTTGAAGTCAGAATATGCAAAAATGATTATCCAGCCTTATATTTAGGCTAGAAAGAAAGAGAGAAAAAATATGCAAAAATGATAGGCCTAGATTAATAAAATTTTGGAAAAAAACCAATTCATTAAAACTGTGCACCAGGGATTAACTTGTAACATTTCACATAGAATTCCAGAGCAAGCTTTTGGTTTGCTTAAGATGGATTACCCCCTTAATGACAGAGCAGATTATCATAATAGCTCTTTCCCCCTTTCCTGAGGCCTTCTATCTCCATTGACTCTCAACATTCAACAAATGGTTTCCCAATCCCTAAAGTTTGGCTTAGTGGTGAGGAGGAAGTTGAATCTGTTCCCATTTTTAGATTTCTGTGCCAACTAAGGCAGCTACTATTTGTTTAGCTGGCTGGATAATGGGTTATTTTTAACAGTGGGGTTTGGAAACTGGTTAGGATACCTTGGAAGAGATAAAGCAGAAGCTAGCCTGCAGATATCTCTGACTTAATGGCTAAATTTACTTTAGGCTACGGCACGAAAAGGAACATAGCAAAGACCCATGGCAGTATTCTAAGAGAAAAAAGGAAGCTTAAACTGTGTATGTTCCATTACATAAAATTAGTGGGAGGCCATTTTTTTTTGACAGAACTCCTGCATTAAACCTCAACAGGCCAGAACAAATGAGAATGGAGTCACTCGTGCTAGGTGCCTTGTCATCAAACTGAACTTTAAAATGGGCCAGTTTTAAAAAAAACCTGGAAGATTCACAGTAACCAGTCAGAAGGGGCCCAGTCAACCTGAGCGGGCATAAGGATGTCCCCTCTGCTTTAAGCCATACAAGTATACTAACTTTGAAACAACCAATTCACTTTTTGTTCCTTGCTTCTGCTTTCTTCTACCTTTTTCTGCCCATAAATCCCACCCCTATGCACAGCTTGGAAAGTGAATTTCTATTTCATAGTTGGGATGCTGCCTGGTTCATGACTTGATAATAAAAGCCAATTAGATCATTAAATTCAATTTGTTGAAATTTTTTGGACAGTTTTAAGAAGATTCCAGATTTGTCACATATCTAAATTTAATCACAACTAATAATCACAACAGATAACCTGTTATGTATGCCAAGAATCACTATCCCATCCCCACATTTAAAATTAACATACTTTTCTGGCTTGAAGTACTTTTTTTTGAGACAGAGTTTCACTGTGTGGTCTAGGCTAGAGTGCCATGGCATCAGCTCACAGCAACCTCAGACTCCTGGGCTCAAGTGATTCTCCCGCCTTAGCCTCCCCCAAGTAGCTGGGACTACAGGTGCACAGCACAACGCCTGGCTAATTTTTTCTATTTTTAATAGAGATGAGATCTCAAACTCCTGACCTCAGGTGATCCTCCTGCCTCAGCCTCCGAGAGTGCTAGGATTACAGGCTTGAGCCACTGAACCCAGCCTTGAAGTATTCTTATAAGATTTTTTGGGCTATCTTTCTTTGAGAATCTTATGAAAGCTATGGAGTCTCCCTCTACCCATGGAAAACGGATATACACTTATACACAATTTTGCAAAATTTTAAAAAGTTCATGGACACTCTGAAACAAACCCATGGAACTCCAGTTAGAAACAACTACCATTAATGAATTATTCCTAATCCCTCAAATTAACTTTTATAGAACCTTATAATAAGTTTTTGATTTAAAAATATGGCCCATATCTGCTTTATTAAATCATATTCTAAATGTAATTCTACATTTCCTTGATAATTAAGGATCATTACGAACAATCACTGCAACATGACTAATCCAAAAAACAAAGACACAGGCAATGCCCTTAAAGAGTTCTAGAAAAGTGCTAGGTTTGGATTTACAAGGATAATTTTACTTACTGATTCTGTAGCCTTGGCCATCTCCTCCCTCCTGCAGTTCTGGTGTGTCAATTCTGACGGACTTTTTTCTAATTCTGTTCTAGTAATAAACCAGAAAAACAAGCTTGTTAAGTAACTGTACCCTAATGCTGGTAGTCAGTGGGCTCAGCATTGCCCAAGAGCAGTGGTGCTGTAAAGCGACAGGTGGCAGAGTCTCCACAGCACAGAGGCCTCTAGGTACTTACTCTTATGTGGCACTGCTCAGGCTGCTTGAAGCTGCCAGCAGGATGCAGCAGGACTGTTCTTAGCTTTTATCTCTGTAAGAGAAAGTTCTAGCCATCCACTTTAGTTAACTCTTAGGTTACTCAAAAGGAAACTCATCTTTTTATCCTTTCTATTGTAACCTGCTGTTAATGACTTACATAAAATAGACCTAACTCACACTAAATATGAACATATTTATATTTAATACATAAAACATTGTTTTGGTAGTAAAATTTTACTGCAGGAGAAAGCTTTTTCTTGCTCCTTTGATTTTAGAAGAGATCTGTTTTTATCCTGATAGGACTCACAAGAGTATCAAATGCCCAGGGCAGAAATGAGATATGGAAGTATCACATCTTACACAATATAAACTGCCAGGATTGGGCCCTTTGGGGCTCAAATCCAAGAATTTTGTATGCTTGTGAACTGCTGCATTGACTCTAAGGCAGCAGAGGCAAGGGCCTACGAACAGGATCAATAAAGTTATTTTTTTTTCTTTTCTGCTAACATGGTTGAACAATGTGAATTCATTATACTTTTATAAGTACATTTTAAGTGCATTTCAGCAGAAAGCAAAACTGTGCTTCAGAGATAGTGAATTGGTTTCAATTAGTTGCAAAAACAAAAGTCTTTTTCAGGGTCTTATTAGAATCTGTAATTGCTAATTCTATGGGGGAAAATCAACTTATACTAGGAATTTAAATGAGATGATCTCTTATGTCTTCAAATTCATTACGATATTTAATAAACACAGGGTCTCTCCAATTCTAAGCTTAAAATATACGTGAAATATAGGATTCAAAGGATAGGATATCAGCATGAAACAGTACCTGGTACACAGAAAGCACTAAGTAAGCATTTGCATATTACTATTTTATTATCACTACTTAGTAAAGGCCAGGTGTGGTGGCTTACGCCTGTAATCCTAGCACTCTGGGAAGCTGAGACAGGAGGATCCTTTGAGCTCAGGAGTTCGAGACCAGCCTGAGCAAGAGCAAGACCCTGTCTCTACTAAAAAAAAATAGAAAGAAATTATCTGGACAACTGAAAATATATATAGAAAAAATTAGCCGGGCATGGTGGTGCATGCCTGTAGTCCCAGCTACTTGGGAGGCTGAGGCAGAAGGATCGCTTGAACCCAGGAATTTGAAGTTGCTGTGAGCTAGGCTGATATCACAGCATTCTAGCCTGGGCAACAGAGTGAGACTCTGTCTCAAAAAAAAACAAAAAAACAAAAACGGAAACTTTAGTATAAATAGCAAGCTATGAAATTAATACGTCAAAATAAACACATTTTCTCTCTATAAAAACATGTTTGAAAAGATATAATCCACAATGGAACCACAAAAAATATTTTGATAATATGCAGTATCTATATGAAGATTATAAAGATGTATATATTAATAGAAAAACCTCGCCCACAGTCAGGAGTGGAAACCAGCTGGAGCTGTGGTGATGGCAGTGGCAGGACTGCCATGGTGCCAAGAGTCTAGTGACCCAGCGAGAGCATGGGGGAATGCTGGCTGCAGAGACCCAGTGACAGTGTGAGAGTTACTAGGTTTCGAGAAGTCTGCATTATGCGTGAGTATAAGCTAGTTGTTCTTGGCTTAGGAGGCAAAGTCTGCTCTGTACAGCTACAGTTTGTTCAAGGAACTTTTGTTGAAAACTATGATCCTACCACAGAAGATTCTTACAGAAAGCAAACTGAAGAAGATGCACCACAATATATGCTTGAAATCTTGGATACTAATTTACAGCAATGAGGATTTGTACATGAAAAATGAATAAGGCTTTGCATTACTTTATTCTATCACAGCACTGACCGCATTTCATGACTTGTAGAATATGAGACAACAGATTCTTCAAGTTAAAGACACTGATGATGTTCCAGTGCTTCTGGTCAGTAATAAATGTGACTTGGAAGATGAAAGAGTTGTAGGAAAGGAATAAGGTCAAAATCTTGCAAAACAATGGAATAATTTTGCATTCTTAGAATCTTCTGCAAAATCAAAAATAAATGATAGGGATCTTTTATGATCTAGTGTGGCAAATTAACAGAAAAACTCCAGTGCCTAGGAAGGCTTGCAGAAAGTCATGTCAGCTGCTTTAATGTACCATTAATAAATGCATTGTACCTCTGGGCCAGTCTGAAGAACTGTTGCCCAATTCCACAGTGCCAGCATTCTAACTTTGTTAAATCTACCAACATCTTAAATGGACTTTCTTATGGTGGTACCCTTTATGAAGGAGAAGAAATCTACTGTATCAGTTTATATATTCTAATCACTTTCTAGTATCACAAGAGAGATTTTTACTTATCTAATAGTCCTAGAGTGTACAGCTGGTAAAACCAGAGGCTACATCCAATATTACTGCTAAGAGACATTCTTTATCTACCAATGTTGTACATGTATGAAAATGGTGTACTGTATACTTTAACATGCCCCATATTTTGTATTGGAGGGTACAATAATGCAAATCCTAAAAGCACCACTATTTTAAAATAAAAGAAATTCCAAAGAGCTCCTAAAAAGATTTAGATAAAAGACATTGTATATTCCCAAATGTCAAGTTTCAATATGATAAAGATGTCAATTTTTCCTAAATTAACCTATAAACTTGATGCAAACCCTATGAAAATACCAAAATAACTTTGGGGAATACAACAAAATGATACTAAAGTTCATCTAGAAAAATCTGATAGCCAGAAAATTTCTGAAAAATAATAGTAACTTAGGTAGGTAGAGTAGGGATTGCTTCCATTACATATTAAAACATACCATGAATGATGAATCGAAATAGAAAAGGAAAAATAAATATAAACTATAGGTCAATAAAAGAGAATCTAGAAATAGACCAAAATACAAATGGAAATTTAGTCTGTGATAAAGGTAGTATTGCAGATTAGTTGGGGAAAGAGAGATTACCCAATAAAACCTGGCACATCTGGCTATTTAGAAAGAAGTAAAGCTGGATCACTGTTAAATACTGTATCAGACAGGGTTCTGTACAGGAAACAAACTCCTCTAGATTATTTCAAGAAAGGGATTTAATACAAAGAATTAGGTCCTTATAAAATCCACTGAAAATGCAGAATCTGGAGACTCATACCCATGAAGCAGGTGATAGGACACTAAAACGTGGGAGCTGGTGGCTACAAAGAACTCCTGTCTGCAGCAGCTTGTCTGTCCACTGGCACATAATTCGCAGAATCTAAACACAGATCCCACTTACCTTAGAGTCTGCAAAACTTCTTGTTTAGCTTTTTATCCCCTCTAGTATGGGGTGGGGAGCATGGGATATTAACACCAAGTGCTAACAGACAATATCTAGCATATATTCTTAACACGAAAATTATTTCCAGATGGATGAAAGTGTTATCTGTAAAAAATAAAATGAATCTATTAAAATGTTCTAGAAGAATCCATGGGTGAATTTATAATCTTGGAGTGCAAAAAGTATTTCTAAGTAAAGCATGAAATTCAGAAGCCAAAAAGGAAAAGTGATGGATTTATCTATAATGACAATTAAAAATGATGCTATCTTCAATATTTTAAATCTTTTGACCAGCTGTGTCACTGCTAGGAATTTACATCATGGAAATATTTGTGTAAGTTTGCAAAGGTATGTACCCAAACAATGCAGCAATATTTGTAAGAGCAAAAGTCTGAACACATGGATATGTACTATCATGGTCTATCATATGACAGAACACTAGGCCAAGTAAAAGGAGAGATTTGAAATAAAGATGTTCCCTTTGTATAACACAAACACAGACAAATGTTATCTAACTTTATACATATTACATTATTTTTGAAAAAGTCATTAGGGATTATCTCAGGAAAATGATGATACTTTCTTTTCCGTGTTTGTAACTCTCATTTAGAACTTTTAAACTTCCCAACTCCCCCTTCATCCCAGAAAAAACAAACTAGGTCAATTTTTCTAACTATATATTTATTTTTTCTTAAAATGTTGATGATTTTTGGTTTTCTAATTTAAACATTCATGATTTCAAAATTACATAAAATTGTGTTCTTTAGATGTATCTAGTGAGATAATATACACTGTGCAATCACTCTATTTATATTAATGACAATTATTTTATATACGTAAAAGAAATTGTAAATTTCAGTTGAAAGAAAACTGTACTTATAGGAAATAATTCTATCATACAATACACATTTACAGTTTTTACTTTTACAATCTCTTCATTTAAAATCATTCTTTCCCAAAAAACTATACCTTGGCATGAGACATTTAGATACAAGTATCCAATGAGCAATTAGTATGTACATAGGTAGATGTGAAAAACTACCTACAATTCTAATATATTCTGCTCCAAAGGTGAAAAAATTTCCTTTCAGAAAGCATTTTAACATTTCTTCTCATCATCTACAAAGCGACAATATTTAAATTATCAAAAATGGCAAATCCAATAACACATAATCAAATAGTCCCTTAAGAAATGTATTTGAAAAGCCATTATTCCCTAAAATATTTACATTGTTTAAATTACATGAAAGCAACATTTTCTTATTCTATTTTATTTAGTTTGACATATTAATAAGGATCTCTAAGCTCTCTCCCCTCAAAAGGATGGCTTTATTCATCCTTAAAAAAGGAGACTTTATCCTTCGGTTTGTTCAGCATCTTTATATCATCCAACAGCTTTTTGGGTGTTAAAATATGCGTAGAACCTGGTAGGAGAAAAGATAACTTTTCAAAGGCCAGCAGTCAAATCAGTTTTCCTCAGCTTAACATATTGTGTTGTCCTTCAAATATGCAAAGTGCAGGAGTTTGGGGCAGTTTAACAATTTCTACACTACATCTTCCTGAAATCTGCCTATGCAAAGTGTAGGAGTTTGGGGCAGTTTAACAATTTCTACACAACATCTTCCTGAAATCTGCCTATTCTATAATAGTCAATCCTTCCTCATAGTTGAGCATACTCAGTAACTTCAAAAACACTGCCTATTCCTAATACTTTGTCTACGTTGTACTGGGAGACTGAGGAGCAAAACTGGGGATTACCCTAATCCTAATAACTGCAACAGCTGTCATCCACTAACAGAAAACCACTGAACAGTGTCTTAAATCGAGGCCGGACATACAGATCCAGCACCTCGACGACTCAGGAGAGTTTACCTATCAGTGACTTTGATTGAAATTCTTAAAACTCAACTCCACATAGGCCCTGCCATTGTCAGGTCTACATCCACAAAAAATTCTAAACATTTTTCAAGTAGACTGTATTTATGCATCAAAAACTAATAATGAAAGCAAACAAAATCATAGAACATAATATTTTAAAGGAACAAGCTCATTTCCCCAAAGTCAGAATATTTAAAAATAAAATTATTAAAAAGCCAACCAGGAAAAAATTCTAACATGTCAGATAAAACATTTTCTATGTTTTCTATTTTCATTTCTAAAAATTTTTTTTTTTGCATTCAACAATTTAGTCTTAAATGTAGTAACATAAAATCAAGTTTTATGTGTACATTTTTGTATTTAGAGTTTGCTTTAAAAAATAGAAAAGAGGAAAACAGAAGTCTTACCAATAATAACTTCACAGGACTTGTGTGCCTGAGAAACTTCATAAGCACAACGCATTTCAGAGTATGTAATTCCTCCAATTACAAAAACAATCAGCTTTGACCCATTTTTTCGGTCTTCTAAGTAATTAGCTCTGGGTTTCTGGCGAGCACTAAAAAGTGAAAAAAAGCAAACATGTTAAAAACATTTACAAAGCCAAAATGCTTGGAGACTTTTTAAAAAGCCTAACCTAACTCAACCAAACTCAAATTTAGTATCAATTACATTGCTTTTAAGGAAATGACTTAACTATGGTGTGAACAGAACACCAAGAGTTAGGCAGACAGCCCTTTCAAGTTTCAATTTTGACAAAACATTAGTTTAGCATTTTTACCTATGAAGTAGAGTTCATATCCTCCCTTATTTCATATGAAGAAATAATATATCTGAAAAGTCTGCAGCTTCTTGAAATTAAAAAAAAAAATAACTGAAATGGCACTCAACCAATAAGATTCTGAAGACACGAAAGGGAAGGGGGCAGGTACTGATGTGGAGGTGATGTGGTACTGCGTTGCCTTGCTGGAATTGAGGAATGCATGACAGTAGGAGGCTGGGTGTTAAAAGCTAGGTCTGGGTTCCAATCTTTATTCTGCTTCTTTTTGATTCAGCATGACTTTCAACAAGTTACTTCTCTCTAAACCTCAAAGGCTGTTACAAGGATTAAACAAAATAATGTACAGAACACTCTAAGTATGGAATGTGGTATCGAGTAAGCACTCAATAAATAGTAGTCATTACTTTCCCCATTTCCTCCCCCAGATTGCTCTGGATCTGCAGCCCAATACAACAGTCACTAGCCACATGAGGCTATTTAAATTTAAAGTAGTTAAAATAAAATTCAAAATTCAGTTCCTCATTAACACTACCCACATACTGGACAGTGCTGATACAGAATGTTTCTATCACTGCAGAAAGTTCCACTGGATAGCACTGCTCTAGAGCTGCAGTCCCCAACCCTGGGCCACAGGACCAGTACTGGTCTGCGGTTTGTTAGGGACTGGGCGGCAGAGCTCTGCCACACCTCTGCCCTTCACTCGAATCCATGGAAAATTATTTTATGTTTTTTTCTTTCTTTTTTTTTTTTGACACGGACTCTCACTTTGTCACCTGGGCTAGAATGCCGTGGCGCCAGCCTAGCTCACAGCAACCTCAGACTTCTGGGGCTCAAGTGATTCTCCTGCTTCAGCCTCCTGAGTAGCTGGGATTACAGGTGTGCGCCACCACACCCAGCTAATTTTTCCATTTTTAGTAGAGACAGGGTCTCACTCTTGCTCAGGCTGGTCTCAAACTCCTCCTGACCTCAAGCAATCCTCCCACTCAGCTTCCCAGAGTGCTAGGATTACAGAGGCATGAGCCACCGTGCCCCATCCTGAAAAATTGTCTTCTATGATACCGGTCCCTGGTGCCAAAAAGGTTGGGGACTGCTGCTATAGAACATAAGAATTACTTTTTATTCACATCCTCAACTAGTAAAAATTTTAAACTTTACTTTTATTTGAAAAGTAAATATTTCAAAATAAACACTATGTACATTTATAAATAAATATATATTAATTTATAAAACTGTATGTGTACTAGTATATGTCAATAAAGGTTAATTTATCCTTTTTTAGGTAAAAATAAGTACCCAATAGATCATTTTATTATCCACTTTGAAAGCCACTGTTTCTAGATGACCTAGAAGGCCTTACAATATAGGATCCCATAGCAAACTTTTGTTGTTTTGTTTTTTAGAGATGAGGTCTTGCTATGTTGTCCAAGCTGCAATGCAGTGGCTATTTACCAGTATGATCATTGTACACCTACAGTGTTGAATTCTGGGGCTCAAGCAATCTTCCTGCATCAGCCTCCTAAGTAGCTGGGACTCCAGGTGCATGCTACTGCAGCCAGCCCATAGCAAACTTTTAATAGTTTCTTTTTTGTTTGTTTCTGAGACAGAGTCTCATTCTGCTGCCTGGGTTGGAGTGCCATGGCATCAGCCTAGCTCACAACAACCTCAACCTCCTGGGCTCAAAACATCCTCCTTTTGAGGATGGACATGGTGGCTCATGCCTGTAATCCTAGCACTCTGGGAGGCTGAGGCGGGTGTATCACTCAAGGTCAGGAGTTCGAAACCAGCCTGAGCAAGAACGAGATCCCATCTCTACTATAAATAGAAAACAAATTAATTGGCCAACTAAAATATATAGAAAAAATCAGCCGGGCATGGTGGTGCATGCCTGTAGTCCCAGCTACTCGGGAGGCTGAGGCAGCAGGATTGCTTGAGCCCAGGACTTTGAGGTTGCTGTGAGCTAAGCTGACGTAATGGCACCCTAGCCTGGGCAACACAGTGAGACTCTGACTCAAAAAAAAAAAAAAAAAAAAAAGACGATTATGTGATCCTAACAATTTTTAAACTTCTGAATAGAAATTTCAGGACAATGGAATCATATTTAATTTGTTTCACATAGATGTTTAAAACTCAGAGATACAAAAATAATGATCACATCCCTAGATCCTGAACACTTCCTCTAAATAGCACCTAAAAGTACTGGTTAAAATAAGGGCAACCAGGAGGAGCCAGCAGTAAAAAGGAAGCTAAACACTACAGCGGTAAACTGAGTTAAGGCTTGGCTTGCCTCGTAGGGTATTTTCCCGATCTTAGTAAACAGGGGGGGGGCCAAACCTTGGGTACTGTGCAAGGGACAGACTGGGAGCTAAGACCCTGCCGAAGTCAGGATACCCTTAAAGACAAAGAAGCTTCTTCTCTGATAACTGCAATCCACAGGTCTGCCTGATGAGAGTTTTAGGTGCTAATTACACTATCTTGAGGGTCTGAGTAACCTCAAGGTAGATATTAACAAATAACAGGAAAAAACTCTAATCTGACAAAAGCACATGCAAAACCTCTCTGAAGAGATCCACTCTCAACCCTGGCTAACTTCAGAATTCAAAATTACAAAATATCTAAGAAAATAACCATAAGTCTGCAGAAATAAAAGGCAGAATTAGACCCCAAAGAATGTAAGATATTGAAATTATTAAATACAGACTATAAATTATGGTAAAAATGATAAAGACAATAAAGTAGGATAGAAAGCATGACAAAGTAAGAAATAACAAAATGTTCTAGCATATTTAAAGAAATAAGTAGAACTTCTAAAATGGAAAAATAAAGTCACTGAAAATAGAAACTGAAATGATAGCTTATACAACAGATTAGACACAAGTTTAAGATAGAACTAAAGAATTAAAAACTAAATATGAAGAAAAATTTCCAGAACAAAACACAAACAGTAAAAGAAATAAAAAAACTTGAGAGATTAAAAGACGTCAAGACAGAATGAGATGTTCCAACAAAACTAAGACAACAGAAGTGGCAATATATGAAGAAATTATGTAAGATGTGAGTCTTGAGATTCAGGGAATATAAATGAACCCCAAGGAAAGAAATACAAACAAATCCTCAGGTAGACAGATGTACCATAGACAATGTACAGAATACAGAAGACAAAAAGCAGCCAGAGGAAAAAAGGCTGATAACCCACAAAGATATGACAAGACTGATCGAAAACATGCCTTACCCCAACCTTCCCAAGAGCTAACAGAACCACAGAAACAGCAGGATATTACCTAAAAGTATTGAGTGAACATGATTCTGCACCTAGAAATTCTTAGCTGGTTAAAGCTGTCATGTAAGAACAACGACTAAATGAAGATATTTTCATACAAAAATCCAATAGACCCACATTAAAAGCACTTCTAAAGGATGTACGGCAGAAAGAATGTAACTGAACCTACAAGAAACGAGTGGTAAGCAATTTAACTGGTTAACGTGCACAACAACTAAATTTAAAAAAATAATGCTGATCATTAATTAAGGGGGTAAAAATGATACAAGGTGAATAGAAATAAAATATTATGATGATATTTAAGGTGAATAAAAAAGTATTATGAAACATTTAGAGGTGTGTGTTTTGCATCAAGTTGGTCTAAGTTCTTGTGTTGTTCAAGAGGGCAGAAATACTAATTAATCTTAGACTTGTTGAGTCAAATATGTATAATAAATTTCTAAGGATAACTGCTATAAGAATACAAGTAGATGATATAACTTCCAAACCAGTACAAAAGGAAAAAAGAAAAGAAAAAATCCTCAGTACAAGAAAAGCACCTGAAAGACCCAAATACATGTAAGTGTACAAGAATGTTCACTGAGCATTGTTTGTAATGATGTCAGTTTTGACACAGCCTAAACCTCCATCATATAGAAAACAGATGAATAAATTGTTATATTCAAATAATTATATACCAACTAACAATGAAAATTTATGAATATATCAATCTGGGATAAATTTCACAAACATAATATAAGGAAAAGAAAAAAAGCAAGTTGCAGGACACATACAATATAATACAATTTATATTAAGTTTAAAAACAGGCCGGATGCAGTGGCTCATGCCTGTAATCCTAGTACTCTGGGAGGCCGAGGCAGGTCGATCGTTTGAGCTCAGGAGTTCGAGACCAGCCTGAGCAAGAGCGAGACCCCAGTCTCCACCAAAAAAATAGAAAAAATTAGCCGGACATGGTGACGCATGCCTGTAGTACCAGCTACTCGGGAGGCTGAGGCAGGAGGATTGCCTGAGCCCAGAAGTTTGAGGTTGCTGTGAGCTAGGCTGACACCACAGCACTCTACTCAAGGAAACAGAGTGAGACTCTGTCTCAAAAAAAAAACAAAAAACGTAACACAAAGTTGGGTGCAGTGACTCATGTCTATAATCCTAGCACTTTGGGAGGCTGAGGCGGGAGGATCGTTTGAGACCAGAAGTTAGAAACCAGCTGGAGCAAGAACAAGGGTCTCTATAAAAAACAGAAAAGTTAGCCGGTATAGTGGTACATGACTGGTGTAGTGGCACGTGCCTATAGTCCCAGCTACTTGGGAGGCTGAGGCAGGAGGACTGCTTGAGCCCAGGAATTTGAGGTTGCAGTGAGCTATGGTGATGCCATTATACTCTAGGCTCTAGGTTGAGAGATAAAGCAAGACCCTGTCTCAAAACAAAAACAAAAACCCAAAAATATAACATAGAGAGGACTTGTGGTCATGGTGGAATAAGGTGGTCAGGAGATTCCCCTCCAAAGAAACAAGTACATAGCTGGATGAAATTGTGGGAGAAAAGAAAACAGAATAAAATATTTCAGGTCAACTGGAAAGCAACCACAGGCAGACAACAAATTGAGAAGGATTTACTCTTGAATATCTGCTCACATATCAGGTAAGAATGGTAGTGGTGAATACGAACCTTCTAGCTGGGGCTGCATTTAACTCCACTACTTCCCCATTTCAGTCAAGAAAAATTATAGCTTTACTGAGTTGAGACTGGCTGTGAAAACCAGCAGCTTTTCTGCCGGTGGTGGAAGATTCAATTCAAGGTGAAGCAGCAACAAACTCCTCCAGCTTTGCTAGCTGTGGTCTCAATTTGGGCTGGGCAGCCAGTCACCCAGAAATCTAACGAGGAAATCCCAGAAGTGGAGAAGCTAAAGAAGGGAAGGACAAACTCTCTATATGTCATTAGCTGACTGCTAAACTGCATGTGCAGGGAAAACCTGAGAAGGTCCAGGGGGAAAAAATGAGTGGAAAAAAAAGGAGACCCGAGAACTGGCTACATTGGAATGCATTCCTTAACTCACACTCAGCTTGATCAACAGAGGATGGAAACTACAGGCTTCAAGTGTCTGAGATAACTAGCTCACCTCTGAACTACACAGACAGAGAGAGTCAACCACCAAGAGCCAACCTAAAAAATTAAAATTTAAAAAACTCAGCAAGGACATTAGTGGCGACACACAGCAAGAAAGATTTCATAGTTTAAATCCACAAAAGTTACTAAAGCAAAACAAAAACAAAAACAAACAAAACCCCAAAACAATTCAGAGTCGCAACAGTACATTATCTGAAAGGTCCAATTTTCAACCAAACATTAGTAGACATGCAAAGAAACAGGAAGGTGTGACCCACACTTTGGGGAAAAGCAGTCAGTAGAAATTGACCCTGAGTAGACCCAAATTTGGGGGACATCAAACCAGTTAAGTATGTGAACAAAAGTAAAATCCTAAGCTCTCTGCTGACTGAAAGGATCCCCACTTGGCCAAGGGAAACCTAAAAACTTGAGTTCCAAGCCATGATAGAATGGTCAGACACCTCTCATTATATCTCTTTTTTTGCTAACAGCCGTCAGGCATTTTTCTCTAAGAGCTCAACAGAAATACATCTCATGATCCAAACCAGTATTCTTTCCTGATAAGAGACCAGCAACCACAGAGTGGTTTTAATCAGTCTAGGGAGTATGCACAGAGAGGGTTTTCATATCCTCTGCTTCACCTTTTGACATCAGAGGGTTGCCATTTTCTGAATATGGACCCCATAAAGGGGCATAAAGCTTGACTGTGCATGCATATGTTCTCCTTTGATAAATATTCACGACTCCTCCCTACAGCTTGTTAAATATGTATATCCGGCCACCTCACTTAGCATAAATTCCTATTCCCATTGTTCCTCCCTAAAAGCAAGAGTTTCTGGCTTCTGGCTGGAGGCTCTGTTCCCCAGTCTGTCAGAATAGCCACCTACAGGCTGTAACCCTTTAAGAGAATTAAAGCTCTCCTTTCCAAATTTATGAATCTTGTCATTTTCTACGGTTAACAAATATGATGAAAAAAATGAAAAAGTAAAATATGCTAACAATAACTTAACTAATAGGGAATCTCAACAACAAATGGAAACTAAAAAAGAACCAAATGGACATTCTGAATGTGAAAATGACGACGACAAATAAAAAATTCACTAGATGTGCTCAACAGCACATTTGAGATGTCAGAATAATCAGTGAACCCAAATCTTCAGATTTGCTACCAAATCTGAAGAAAAATGAAAGAAAAGAGAATCTCAGTGAACCATGGAACAATATCAAACCCTCCAACTTATGTGTGATGGGAGTTTCAAAAGGAGTAGAGAGGGAAAAGGGCAAGCAGAAAAAAATTTGAAGAAATAATGCTTGAAAACTTGTCAGATTTGATGAAATTTAATTGCAGATCCAAGAAACTCAACAAACCCCAGGTAAAATAAGCACAAAGAGAACTAAACCTAGACACAACATAATTAAACTTCTGAAAGCCAAAGACCAGGAGAAAATCCTGCAAAACACAACTTAAGACATTGTTTAGGATACAAATATGTGTATAAAAAGTATAAAAATATATAGGTGATAAACACCAAATTCAGGATAGAAAAGAAAGGGAGAGTAATAAAATCATAGAGTGATACAGGAAACTGGAATTGTATTTATAATGATAAGCTGGGCACTGAGTATAATATAAGGGTATGTGTTATAATATTTTCTGTACCTTTTTGAATGTTTCAAATATTTCTTCACAAAAAGGATTAAGACCTCTGCTATGTGAAGAAGAAAGACATTTGGGGGAAGGCCATTTAGGTTCATGAAAATATTTTTATAATAAAGTATGTCTTTATATTGCTTATCTAGACTCATTTAACACAGGTTAAAGAAAAATTATGTGACTATATGCTTCAAAAAGAACTGCCAAATATAAGAGTGCCTGTGTACCATTTTCCATTATTAGTCTGTAGTATCACACTGGAAATTCCACTGACTTTCACCTACAGGCTTTACCTTACAGCTCCTGAGCCATTCCATACTGCTGGACACTGGGAACGATATGGCCATTCTTTTGAATCTAATCTATTATCAATGGCATCCTAGGGAAGAAAAGAGGTAAAACCATCAAGAAAATGTTATAAATTCCAGGACTTTTTTGGTTTAGTTTGTTTTGATAAAAACCAAAACTTGCATTTGGAATTAAGGAACATTAAAGATATAAAAATATTTAATATAAGATTAGCCTTTTCTTTGAAACTCACAAATCTTACTTCCTTCAAAAAGCAATGCTGATCATTTACTTACTTATTAAACCAGTATGTATTGCATGCCTTCCTTTCTTCATCTGGAGGGTCCCTACATTAGTATGGGGATGCAGGCACCTTGTAAGTGACTTTACCGGTAGCTATGCAGTACCAGGGGTCTTAAACACCATCCCAGTCTTGACATTCCTCCAAGGCTTTGCCCTTCAGAGCAGTGACTTTAAAACAGGATGTGCAAACCTAGTCTAGGAGTACTCAGGACAATTCAATGGGATGTGAGGAATTTTCATTTTATTTTTAAACAATTTTTCCTTTTTTGTGTTATATTTTATAATATACTTATGTGTATGAATATATTGCACATATAGATTATGTTTTATTGGTATAGTAATATGTAATTTATAAATAAATAGGTTTATGCTCACATTTTTTATGGTTGGGTGTGCATGACTAAAAATATTTGGAAACTACTGCTTTACAGCATAGTAAAGCATAGTATACTGCTTTATACCATAGTACAAGTGGTATTAACAAGTAGACACAAGAAGTGGGCACAAAGTACTCAGTAGTCCAAAATATTTCAATAAGAATGCAAGAAGGGTAGAAACCAAGTTTCAGGAGAAACTGCCATTGATCCAAATGTTTATTTTTGTCTTGTTTTTTGAGATAGAGTCTCGCTCTGTTACACAGGGTAGAGTGCAGTGATGCAATCATAGCTCACTGCAGCTTCAAACTCCTGGGCTCAAGTGATATTCCTACCTCAACCTCCTGAGTAAGTTGGGACTACATGCGTGTGCTACCACGCCAAGCTAATTTTTAAATTTTTTTGTAGAAATGGGGTCTTGCTATGTTACCCAGGATTGTCTTAAACTGCTGGCCTCAAGCGATCCTCCTCCTCTTGCCTCCCAGAATGCTGAGATTATAGGTTTATAGATGTATAGATTATACATCATCATTGTGGGAAAGGGAAAAAAACTTTGTTGCAAAAAGTGAAGTCTAAATTCTTTATACTTTTCATGCACATTTAAACGTGTGAATGGCATAAAATTAGCCAAGCAAAACAGAAAAATCATAGTAATACATTTGACCAAATTAGCTCCCAAAGAAAAGTAGAACTTGGGGTTTAAGTCAAAGGAAAATTGGAATAAATGGAACTATATGATTATGATTAAAGAACCAGTGTCATGATTTTATTAGCTCACACAGCAATTTTTAATTAGCTCATTTTGTAATTTCCTGTAACTGAATATTATTTTCTAAATGCAAACAGTACTAAAGACATTATTCAACTGTTAGATCTAATAGCAAACTATAATAAGGCTTACATTTTAATCACAAACACATTTCCAAGAATACTGGCATCTAACAATGTTATTTTGAACTTTCATTCAAACAAATTATATATATTTATGCTACATTATAGTTATGTAAAATAATAGCAGTGTTTTTCAAAAAGCATATGTGTGCTTATTTTTATTTATATATTTTGAGACAGTGGTGAGTTTGTCTGAGGTCTTCAAGAAAAGAATCTTCAAGAGATTCTTCTTCTTTGACCCTACATATGGCTTTTTTTGGTGAAGTTTCCAAACACTGCAGAAAATTCCTTTCCCACAGATATGCTCAAACTGACACATAAACACAGAAAGATTAAAGAACACACTAACAGAGGGCACTCGAGTACAAGAAAAAATTTAAGGCCAGGCCTAGTGGTTTACGCTGTCTATAATCCTAGCACTCTGGGAAGCAGAGGTGGGAGGATCACTTGAGCTCAGGAGTTTAAGACCACCCTGAGCAATAGTGAAACCCCATCTCTACCAAAAAATAGAAAAATTAGCTGGGCATGGTGGCACATGTTTATAGTCTTAGTGGCTCAGGAGGCTGAGGCAAAAGGATCACGTGAGCCTAGAAGCTTGAGGTTGCAGTGAACTATGATGCTACAGTACTCTAACCCAGGCAACAGTGAGAGGTAGTAGGGAAGAAGGGAAGAATGGAGGTAGGGAGGAAGGAAGGGAGGAAGGGAGAAAGGAAGGGAGGAAAGGAGGGAGGGAGGAGGAAGAATTGAATCATTTTTACCTCCATAATATCTTTGATAAAAGGCGTCCATCGAGAGAGCTGAAAAGTTTCTTCTGTGGACCGATCCTTTCGTGTTGGTTTGCCTTGTTGAGACTAATATAATCAGAGGAAAAAATTAAAAACCAGTAATTTTATTCAGTAACATAATACTTGGTTTCCTAACAAAGATATTTAATTTACCAGTAAGTACTACTCTATGGTATTTGACTAAAACTAAGAGTGGAAATGACTACTTAAAAAAATCCGAATAGGTGTAGTCACATAACATCACTCAACAGTATTTTGTGCTTTATTGTTAAAATTTATAACTGTATCAGAAACAGTTTATTCAAATAACCGTATTATGAAACTTGATGGGAAAGAGTGAGATTCTAAATAGAGTTCTTCCAAATTTGACTTTGAGCCTAAATCCTTTTAAGCAAGAAAATATATAATTATGTTCTGTACCATATTATAGTTAAAGGTTAAATGTTTAATTAAACATGACAATTGCTACAAATGAACCATAAAGAGAAAAGCATAAGTATTAAATTACAACAGAAGCTTTAAAATACAAATTTACCAGAAAAGTATATTTGCTCAAATTGTTCACATGTGGAAAAGTCAAGAAAATGAAATTTTTAATTTGCTTACTTAATCAAAAGCTATAGAGTGAAGCTAAAAAGACTGTCCACATGGATTCCCATATAAAAAACATAGTTAATGCAAACAACCACACATGTATATATATAAGTATTTACACAATATAAAATTTCTTACTTGGGGAACAATGGGAACACCAAGGTAACTCCAGTTACGAATCATGTCACTCTCATTTTCTATCTTTACATTCTGGATCAACCTGTCCAAATTTTCTTCTGTAGTTCCTTATGTAAGTAAAAATATGAGTGCACAATCACATAATTGCTATATCAATCATTTCTAGCTTTTAGGTAGTACCCATGAATACAGATTTTAAATAAAAAGCAGTCAAATTATATCCTCTATAATCTTCTCTCAATTTCTTGTTTTACTTTTTATTTATCTTAACCAGCTTCAGCTACTACTTGAGTTTTCAAAGATTATCTTATGATCAATAGTAAGACACTTATTAAAAAACGATTTTACAGCTGAGTATTTTAATGCATTCATAAAGATAAACAAAACTTCCATTACCATTAATACTGAAGATATAAAGTAGGATTGCTCTTATTTTATCACAATTATCATGATTTTTGTTGAGTAGAACTGGAAGGAGTACTCGCATAAAGTCTTTCACCTTCTGTCCTTCTGCATCAATTCCAAGTGCCAAGTCCTTAATGAAAATAACATGTAGTCAGTGGTCTATAATCCAAATTCATTTTTTAGTTAAAAATATCTACTATTAAATCTTGTCAAGTTTTAATGGAACACTGATGACATTTCACAGGAAATGTGAACACTACTTGTAAAGTAATGGTTGTACAAAATGCAAAAAGTCAAAAAATAAATCATAGAAGATTAAAGTCATTAATTTAAACCTATCTGATATGGTAGCCCCTAGCAACATGTAGCTATTGAGCATTTGAAATGTGATCAATCTGAATTAAGATGTGCTATAGGTATAAAATACCAGATTTTGAAGACTTGATGTGAAGAATGTAAATTATCTCATTAATAAATTTTTATATTGGTTATATGTTGAAAATATTTTAAAGACATCGGGTTACATCGAATTTTTTCTATGTCATCTAGGCTGGACACAAACTCCTGGGCTCAAGCGATCCTACTACCTCAGCCTCCCAAGTAGGTAGAACGACACAGACACAGACACACACACACACACACCACTGTGTCCAGCTTAATATTAAAATTAATTGCATATCTTTCTTTTTACCTTTTAACATGGCTACTAAAATATTTAAAATTACATTCAGCTTGTATTCTATTTCTATTAGAGGGCAACAATCTAAACAGTTGAGGTATGATACAAAAGCCTCTTAAAACAAGTAAAATGTGCCTTTGCAGTATTCTGCAGGACGCTACATTAAATGCTCCACCCACTGAGAAAGTCCTGCCAACAAGGCTACCCTGAAATAATGTTCTAAAAACTTAAATCACCCCATTCATCCAAAAATGCATGATCACAGATTAGGAGAGACTGCTTACACTAAGATACTGTATAGCTACTTATTAATGTTGGTGGACAACAATATATTAAATATTGCCTAGGTGGGTCCCCAGGAAAGAGAGAGTCAGTGATTCTATTAAAAAAAAATCAACCATATACCAAGCAAAATGTTGGGTTTTTAACTTAAAAGTTCACTTGGAAATCTATTATGAACATAGGCATTTCTGACTGCACATACCTGTTCAGTTTTGCAGAGCTTTTCTATATTAAGCTTGAATTTATTCATGCAATCTTCTGCTAAATTAAGATGGACAACTTGCTGAAAAACAAAAGAAATCAATCATTCGAAACATTTTACCTCCTTTTGTGCAACTGGTGATATTAAACTTTTGAGACAGGCCTGAAGGAAGTATGCCCTTGGGTGAAAGAAGGTAGCATGCAAGCGAGAGAACAGTTTAAGAAAGGAAGTGAGAATGTGATCTGCAGGGGACAATCAACAGACAGCAAAAATAGAATGGAAGTGTTGAATGTGTGTTGAGTGTGAGAGTAAAGAAAAATAAAGTGAGGAAAAAAGTAAAGTCTTTGAATTTTATCAGGAGAAGTTTCAATTTATATTATCGATTCCTGACTAGGGTGCAACATGACAAAAATATGTAAAAATTATTCTGACAGTATTCATGAGGACGGGAATAACAAAAAAACAATTTACCTGATTAAACAGCTTAAATGCTCTTAAGTCTACTAATATAATATATAACATTTAAAGAAACATGTAGAATAACAGGCACCTGCCAATTCAGTGTTTAATTTTCTTATAAGGTTGGTAAGTATTACAGTTATTCTGTTAGATTGTTCAAGACAAAGATATAAAAAGGTTTAAGCTAAATTTGGATAAATCTAGGTGACATATGTAGAGAAGTTATAAGGAAGCTTAGATATTTGGGATATTTCTCAGACCAAGACTAATGCTTTAGAGGACAACTAACACCAAATGTTCCATAAAACTCACTGCTAAACCCAACTACAGAACTGGATAGACCAATAATAAAGTATCTCATATATAACACTGCTTACCTTAGTAATCTGTTTACGGAAATGGGGCATCTTTTTCATCAGTTGGGCAAGAGCACTAAGTGATGTCTAGGAAAAATCAAACATTTTTTAGACAACCCTGTGATTCAGTTATTCTATATTATAACTTTTAAATCCTTGTACTTTAAATATTACCAAATCTAATGAATTTACTAAATATTTGGCAAATTTTAAGAATTAATTCAGGTGGCTTCTAGTTTTAGTCACAATAAAGTAGCTGATATTAAAATTACTCTCCCTCCATAAACAAAAAATAAAATTGGACAATTAAAAAAAAACAGTTTTTTGGCCGGGCGCGGTGGCTCACGCCTGTAATCCTAGCACTTTGGGAGGCCGAGGCGGGCGGATTGCTCAAGGTCAGGAGTTCGAAACCAGCCTGAGCGAGACCCCGTCTCTACCAAAAATAGAAATAAATTAATTGACCAACTAAAAATATATATATACAAAAAATTAGCCGGGCATAGTGGTGCATGCCTGTAGTCCCAGCTACTCGGGAGGCTGAGGCAGTAGGATCGCTGAGCCCTGGAGATTGAGGTTGCTGTGAGCCAGGCTGACGCCACGGCACTCACTCTAGCCTGGGCAACAAAGTGAGACTCTGTCTCAAAAAAAAACAAAAAAAAAAAAAAACAGTTTTTAAGCAATGAATAAAAAAATAGCTTGTAGCTTAGAGACATCTGAGTGAACCAAAGCACAGATCCTGTCTTTTGTTTTCCAAAATCACACTGAAAGGATGTAGAATTCAAGTAGAAAGCAATTATCTCTCTGGACAAACAAAAAAAGAGATCAGAGTTTGGGGCTGCTGAGGTAGATGGGGAAAAGGGAGCTAAAGAGAAAGGAGCCAGCCAAAACATAACCCAAAAATGTGTAGAGGGGCTCTTCTTTGACCTCTAAATTGCATACAAATAGGGCATAACTCTCAAAGGCCTAGTAGAAAACAACTTCTGGGTGGCTAAATGTTGGACAGAGATTTCAGAGGAGTCTGAGTGCTATGAAAATGCTAGTATCCTCAGATCCACACAAAGTAAAGAGACCTACGTGAACATCCCAGACATAGTTGTAAGTATATTTTACTTTTGCACAAGGTACTAGAACTATGCTTTAGATTAAGTGCAAAAGTGAAATACACTCACCGTAACATCACCTAACATAAAGTCTCAACAGAATTAAGGTTCTTCCTGAGTAATTTAACTGTCTTACAGAACAAAACTCAACATTCTCTGTAGAGAGAATACCATCCAGAGCCTCTGCACTGTATCATCCACAATGTTTACATACAATAAAAAAATTCAATAAGACACGATCGAACACAGAAAAATCGTGATTGATATTCAAGTCATAAAACAGTCAATAAATGTAGACCCAAAATAAGAAATAAGTTTTAGTGTTTGATGGCATAATAGGGTGACTATAGTTAACAACAATATATTGTATACTTCAAATAGCTAGCAAAGGAGATTTTTTGGGAACCTAACATAAAGAAACAATACATGTTCGAGGTGACGGATATCCTAATTACCCTGATTTGGTTATTACACATTGTATGCAAGTATCAAAGTATCACATGTACTCTATAAATATGTACAATTTATGGATCAATAAAGAGATTTAAAAAAATAATACCTCCAAATGTAAAAACATCCAAAAAAAAAACCCCACAAAAAAGCAGACCCAAGATGAATGATCCGCATGTTGGAATTGACAAGGACTTCAAAGTAACATATTTGTGTTAAAGAAAACAGAGGAAAAGATGGTCTACTCGGAACAAAAGATGGAATATTTCAGCCAGGCGTGGTGGTTCATGCCTGTAATCCTATCAGTTTGGGAAGCTGAGGCAGGAGGATCACTTGAGGCCAGGAGTTAGAGACCAGCCTGAGCAAGAGCAAGACCTGTCTCTATTAAAAAATAGAAAAATTAGCCAGGCATGGTGATACACACATATAGTCACAACTATTAGGGAGGCTGAGGCAGGGGGATCACTTGAGCCCAGGAGTTTGAGGCTGCAGTGAGCTATGATGATACCACTGTAGTCTAGGCTGGGCAACAGAGCAAGAGACCCTGTGACCCCCCAAAAAAGAACTACTAAAATATGCAAAATCGGTAAATCTCAAAAATACAATGTTGAGTGAAAGAAGCTATATAAAATAGAGCACATACTATATCATTTACTATTACATTTATACTATTTCATTTATTTACTATTTCATTTATATTATTTCATTTACTATTTCATTTATACATACTATTTCATTTATACGAAGTTCAAGAACAGGCAAGACTAATCTATGGTGATAAAAATTAGAATAGAGCTTACCTCTGATATGGTGGCTATTGACTAGGAAAAGGCAAGAGGGAATATTGTGGAATGATGGAAATGTTCTGTATCTTGATTTAGGTGGTAGTTCCACAGGTGTATAAAGAGTTATACACTTAAGATTTGTGTGATTTTACTTATATAAATTATAATTCAATATAAAAATCCCAACACCACCACACTGAAGAAATTGACTAAATGGCCTTTTAAAAATCAACTTTTCTTCTCATCCCAACTTGAAATGGCTAAAAATAAACTTTTGTGAAGTAAGACAGACAAAATGTTGCTAACTACTGAAACTAGGTAATGGGTATTGGAGAGTTCATTTTCTCTACTTTTAGAACCTGCTCAAAATAAAAGTTAAATAAACAAAATAAAAATGTTACACAAACTTTAAATTTTACCTTCATCATTATTTTGAAAGTTAAGCAAGACTCTTACCTTTCCTTCTGTTGCTTTCTTTGTTGATGAAATTTCCTTCATAAGCTTGGGAATTTCCCTGTCAAATTGTGAGAGAATTCTTTAAATTTCTAAGGTGTAATTCTTTACAGAACTAGTTTAAGGTTACAGAATGTACTATCACATATTTAGTTCTAAAAAATATGGGATGAAAATTAAAATGGGTTCACATACTCTAACACTACAGCAATATGCCGATGTCGAATTCTGACCCAGAGGTCATCATCTTCTTCAAGGATTGCCTCCTTTTCTTTTCCATCTGTTTTATATCTACAAGTAGACAAAAACATAAAACTTTTGGAATTTTTTCCTTTCAAAAGCAGAAGAAATATTTTTACAAACAATAATTTTAAAACACAGCTCACAAAACTGAAAAGTACATAAACTCAATCCACTATTTTAGGGGTATAATGAATACCTACTCAAAACTAAGGCACATTGCTATTCTTACATTAAAAATTGAAGTGCTCCAGCCTGAGCAACATAGCAAGACTTCATCTCTACAGAAAATAGAAAAATTAGCTGGGCACGCCAGTAGTCCTAATTACTCAGGAGGCTGAGGCAAGGAGGCAGGAGGATCACTCGAGCCTGGGAGTTTGAGGTGGCAGTGAGTTATGACAACATCATTGCACTGAAGCCTGGAAACCCGGGCAACAGAGTGAGATTCCGGCTAAAAAAAAAAAAATCAGTGTTATGCCTACCAAGACATTTTTACTTTCAAATATTAGATTTAGCTGTCATTACTATAAAATTTTAGCTTGGCAAAATGGTATCTTATGAAGCAAAATTTTAATGTTCTATAATATAATCAGCTTTATGAACAAGACTTAATATACTAATTTTTTTTTTTTTGAGACAGTCTCGCTCTGTTCCCCAGGCTAGAGTTTAGTGGCGTCAGCCCAGCTCACAGCAACCTCAAACTCCTGGGCTCAAGCAATCCTTCTGCCTCAGCCTCCCAAGTAGCTGGGACTACAGGCATGTGCCACTATGTCTGGTTAATTTTTTCTATATATATATTTTAGTTGGCCAATTAATTTCTTTCTATTTATAGTAGAGAAAGAGTCTCACTCTTGCTCGGCTGGTTTCGAACTCCTGACCTTGAGCGGTCTCCCTCCACTCACTGCGCCCCGCTGACTTAATATACTAACAATTTGTGTTCTAATTGCTTAAAACACTGGTTTGATGTGAAAACACTGGTTTGATGTGCTAACAACCCACAGCACAACTATCAAACATTTGTTAGAACAGAAATGTCGCCCCAATGTAGCCTATTAAATTTCTAAGAATGTAATGTTCTTTTTAGTGTTTCAGAATCAGTACCAAATTCAAAAACATATATCATGTTTATTTTTCCCCAATCCTATAACAACATCTCCTATAAAGTACTGAAACCGTCCTTGTAAAATCAATTGAAACCAAGGGTTGAAACTTTGATAGAGGCCTAAGTTTTTTTATTTTTATTTTTTTTTTTGAGACAGAGTCTCGCTTTAGAGTGCCATGGCATCAGCCTAGCTCACAGGAACCTCAATCTCCTGGGCTCAAGCGATCCTCCTGCCTCAGCCTCCCCAGTAGCTGGGACTACAGGCATGCACCACCATGCCCAGTTCGTTTTTTTCTATATATGTATTAGTTGGCCAGTTAAATTCTTTCTATTTATAGTAGAGACGGGGTCTTGCTCTTGCTCAGGATGGTTTCAAACTCCTGACCTTGAGCAATCTGCCCACCTCGGCCTCCCAGAGTGCTAGGATTACAGGCATGAGCCACCGTGCCCGGCCTAAGGCCTAAGTTTTATAAAATATAGCTATAGCTAAGAATTAACCAGCAATTGCCCCATAGCCTGCTTCCCTATAATTGCTTCAGGTTTAGAAGTCACACAGCTAGTGGTCACAAGATTTATAACTTCCCTTAATTGCTTCTGTAAGATAACACCTCTATTGTGAGAAACTCTCTCTAGATATTTTCCAGACCCCACATTCCAATGGGCCCTCTGATGCCAACCCAACAAGTGATCCATACTGCAGAACTGACTCAGTGCAAGAATGCAGTTTCTATATCACTATGATTTTACCCCTAATCCAAACCAATCTGAAATACCAATTCCCTAGCCCTCTGCCCGCCAAATCTTCAGGGAGGCAGATTTGAGATATTCCTCCAGTCTCCTCATTCAGCTGCCTATTAGCTCTTTTCTGCCCAGCAGGCAAAACAAACCTGATTGGGTGGTAACAGAATGGGAGAGGAAAGGAGAGAAAAACTAACAAACCACAAAAATTGTGATAGCTTTAATGAGTTCTACAGAAGTGATCAGAAATTTAAGGTTTTCATGAAACTATTCAAAAGGGGCTTCCTGGCTGGGGGGTGGCTCACACCTATAATCCCCGAGCTTTGGGAAGCCAAGGTGGAGGATCCCTTGAGGCCAGGAGTTTGAGACAAGCCTGAGCAACAAAGTGAGCTCCCACCTCTACAAAAAATGAAAAAAAAATTAGCCAGGTGTGGTAGTAGGTGCTTGCAGTCCTAGCTACTTGGGAGGCTAAGGCAGAAGGATCACCGGAGCCTACAAATTTGAAGCTGCAATGAGCTATGATCCCACCAATGCACTCTTGCCTGGGTGACAGAGTGAGACCCTGTTTCAAAACTAACTAAATAAATAAAACAGGCTTCCTGATTGCTTCTCCAAATGTACTTTCTCGCTTCTCTCTCTCTTTTTTTTTTTTTTTGAGACTTTTGAGACAGAGTCTCACTCTGTTTCCTGGGCTAGAGTGCTATGACATCAGCATAGCTCACAGCAACCTCAAATCCTTGGGCTCAAACGATCCTCCTGCCTCAGCCTCTTGAGCAGCTGGGCCTGCAGGCATGTGGCACCCTGGCTAATTTTTTTCTATATATTTTTCAGTTGTCCACCTAATTTCCATTTTTTTAGTAGAGACAGGGTCTCACTCTTGCTCAGGCTGGTCTCAAACTCCTGAGCTCAAACGATCCTCCCGCCTCAGCCTCCTCTCTTTTCTCTTTTTATTCAGATATCCTCCTTCCATCTGTGGAGTTAGGGAAGACACTATCATCCTAGGAACAGTTAATTTCCTGAGCCAAGTTTAGGAAGGACTACATTGAGTTTCCCTAGGTCTGGACTGCAAATAATACATGTAGCCTTCTGCTATATAAATATAATCATTTCTATAAATCCCAAAATTACATTTCCCACTATAAAACCATCCACATGTGTGGTCATTTTTTTTTGTTGTTGTTATGAAATTTTAGAAAGAACATCTGTGTGGTCTTAAATATAGATGTCCAAAGCTAGAATGGCTATATTCAATGACAAGGCTATACAAGAATGGAAGCCCTTTTATCATTTAAAATGTTACTTTGTTTTTACACAATACCTTTGACTTTTAAATGATTTGTAAACAAAGATTATAGTAGCAATCCTCAAAGAGGATGGTAATACCATTTTAAAATTAGCTTTAAAAGGTCACTAAGACGAAAAATTGAATCTGGATACTTAGAATTTCCTGCTTAGTATTATGTCAAAAATTGTGATGGAGCACAAACAAACCACAGGGATGTTCCCAACTAAGTCTCATCTCTGGACTTTTTTGATTCAGGGAAAAGAGAGTGTAGCTGGATGGGAGTTTTTTGTTTTCTATTTTTTTTAAATGTCTCTTACTCTTAAAAAATTAAACCTTGTTTTGCTTGCCAACAAACCTAGGGAGATATATAGTTTAAATACTAGGTTAGAAATGTTTAAAAGTTACATCTATAATTTGAAACCAAATCCTTTACTGTCCATCATTTCATAAATTCTAAATCTCTTGAGCAATATAAGTTTCGAGACCTAAAGGATAACAGAGGAAAATAGTATCTCTTCTGAATAAACTGCTTATAACAACTTCTATATTAGAAAAATAGCTATGTTGACTTCTGTTATCGAACACTAATACAATTAACAGAGAAAAACTCAGAAATCAAGATTTGTCCAGAATACAAATAAAAATACAAAATTATTTTAATATATAATTTAAGAAAAAACATTAAGTATCATAATCATCACAAGTGTCTGTATCTTCTTCATCTAATAAAACTACCAAATTAATTTAAAAATAAAATTTCAGAAAATTAACTTTCATTTTTATTACTGTACGCAAGCTGTAAATCTTAGCTAAGAAATACCAATTTGGATTTAGAAATCATATCAACTAACATATGTAATATGTGTATACATATGGGCATATCTATAAATGATAAAGAGTAAAAATGGTTTCTTTATAGAAAAGTTATTTCATTTTTCATTTATATTTTTGTTTAACATTATTATCATTTTGAGACAACAGTTTTGCTCTGTTGCCCAGGCTGGAGTGCAGTGGTGGCATCACAGTTCACGGCAACCTTGAACTCCTGGACTCTCCTGCCTTAGCTTCCCAAGGAGCTAGGACTACAGGTGCACACCACCATACTTGGCTAATTTTTTCTATTTTTTGTAGAGATGGGGTCTAACTATTGACCAGGCTTCTCTCAAACTCTTGGCCTCAAGTAATCCCCCCACCTCTGCCTCTGACATTACTTTTAAACTAAATATGCTTATATCAAGATTAAAAGAAAAATAAGCACCCAAATGGGAAATATGAACCTGTTCTTGACAGCCATTTTATTTAGTTTTCTCATGTCTTAATCTTTTTTTAATTAATTAATTAACTTTTTTTCAGCATATTATGGGGGTACAAATGTTAAGGTTACGTATATTGCCCTTGCCTCCCTCCCACCTCGAGTCACAGCTTCAAGCATGTCCATCCCCTAGTTGGTGCGCACTGCACTCATTATGTATGTATATGCCCATCCCCTTCCCCCTCACCTGCCCAACACCCCATAAATGTTATTCCTATATGTCCACTTAGGTGTTGATCAGCTAATACCAATTTGCTGGTGATCTAATCTTTTTATATACATTATATTGCTAAGACACATACACTTTGGGTATATGATTCAGAATAAATACAGCCTAACCATATTGAATATGGTTTCCACTTCAATAAATGTGACGGTGAGCCTGGTATTTATTTTTAAAATAAGTGAAAAGCCCAAATTCCACTTGTTTAAATGTAGTTCTGCTAGAGACATAGCTAAGGAAGCAAACACACCAAAAAAGGTCCAAAGCAATCAAATTACCTATCAACTTATAAAGTCAACATGTTTTTAAAAGATTATCATTATAGAAATAAAAGAAGGATACAGTCTGAATAAAAATGGTTACAGAGGTTTTCAAATCGCTAGTGCCTATATAAATCATTAAATGCTCATATCCTGCCCTGTTTGTATATGCCCTTTACATGCCCTTCAAGTTATACTTGCTTGTATGTATCATTCTCAATGGGTAGTAGATCATATGCCATTGCCTGAAAGGTCAGTTCATGCAGGACAGTGGACACAGGATCAAAGCCACGATCAATTATTAAGAGCTGGGAATGAGTTTTACCCTAGAATAAAAAGATAAAATTATCTTAAGAAACTTCAATTTCTTTTTATGAAAATATTTTTAATACCTTAGAAAACCAAAGCAGACTTTTTCTAAGTCCTGTCCCTTCTCCTCACCAAAAACATACAACAAAACAAATGATTACTTGACTTAAGAATGTGAAGTTAGGCCAGGCGCGGTGGCTCACGCCTGTAATCCTAGCTCTCTGGGAGGCCGAGGCGGGCGGATTGCTCGAGGTCGGGAGTTCGAAACCAGCCTGAGCAAGAGCGAGACCCCGTCTCTACTATAAAATAGAAAGAAACTAATTGGCCAACTAATATATAGAGAAAAAATTAGCCGGGCATGGTGGCTCATGCCTGTAGTCCCAGCTGCTTGGGAGGCTGAGACAGAAGGATCGCTTGAGCCCAGGAGTTTGAGGTTGCTGTGAGCTAGGCTGATGCCACGGCACTCTAGCCTAGGCAACAAAGCGAGACTCTGTCTCAAAAAAAAAAAAAAAAAAAAAAGAATGTGAAGCTATATTAAAACAAAGAGGCTGGGTGTAGTGGCTCACACCCGTAATCCTAGCATTCTGGGAGGCCGAGGCAGGAGGATCGTTTGAGCTCATGAGTTTGAGACCAGCCTGAGCAAGAGCAAGACCCTGTCTCTACTAAAAAAATAGAAAGACATTAACTGGACAACTAAAAATATATAGGAAAAAAATTAGCTGGGCATGGTGGTACATGCCTGGTCCCAGCTACTTGGAAGGCTGAGGCAGCGGGATTGCTTGAGCCTAGGAGTTTGAGGTTGCTGTGAGTTAGGCTGATGCCACGGCACTCTGGCCAGGGCAACAGAGTGAGACAGACTCTGTCTCCAAAAAAAATCTGAGTAGCACAAGAGGGAAGAAACCAAAACAACTTAACTATTAATAAAAGCTTTCATAATTAGATTAAGAGGCCATATTTAATAATACAGTTGACCCTGGAACAACATGAGTTTGAATTACTTTTTTATAAGATACAGGGTCTCACTGTGTCACCTAGGCTGGTCTCAAACTACTGGCATCAAGTGATCCTCCTGCCTGGGCTTCCTGAAAGTGCTAGGATTATAGCTACAAACCACTGAACTCTGCCAAGATACTTTTCCAACCAAACGTGGATCAAAATACATATTCTCAAGATGTAAAATCTGAGTATATGATGGACAGACTTTTTGTATATGCAGGTTTTACAGGGGTGACCATAGGATTTGAGTATCCATAAATTCTGGCATAAATGAAAGGTCCTAGAACCAATCCCCAGCATATACTGAGGAATAATTATATAATATTTTGAAAATTCCTTTGAAAAAAGTAACATTTGGTTTGCACCAAATCTATTTTATTAATTCATCTCCATAAACACTAAAACTGATATAAATTATGTTTGTTTTTTTTTAAGGAACCAAGTTTTCTGCTATTTTTTTTTTTTAAGGAATAAATTATGAATAACAACTACTACTTGAGCTCTTTGTGTTAGACATTTTGCTAAGCAAGAAATATATGGATTATTTCATTCATTTAGTAACCCTGTGAGATAGGTATTATTATCTCCATATGACCATGAAGGAATTAAGGCTTGAAATTAAGTAAGTTGTCCAAATCACACAGGTAAGGCAGGATGGAGATTCAAACTCAGGTCTTCACTCCAATGCCTGTGCTCTTAACCACTATGCTATTTTAAAAGATCACACTGGCCGGGTGCTCCGTGGCTCATGCCTATAATCCTAGCACTCTAGGAGGCTGAGGCAGGTGGATCGTTTGAGCTCAGGAGTTCCAAGACCAGCCTGAGCAAGAGTGAGACCCCATCTCTACGAAAGAAAGAAAGGAAAGAAAGAAAGGAAAGAAAGAAAGGAAAGAAAGGAAAGAAAGGAAAGAAAGGAAAGAAAGAAAGAAAGAAAGAAAGAAAGAAAGAAAGAAAGAAAGAGAGAGAGAGAGAGAAAGAAAGAGAGAGAGAGAGAGAGAGAGAGAAAGAAAGAAAGAAAGAAAGAAAGAAAGA